CGCTGCTGGTGTCGGTGATCCACGTGAACAACGAAATCGGAGTTGTGCAGGACTTGCGGGAAATAGGACGCGTGTGCAGGGAAAAGGGGGTCTTCTTTCACACCGACGCTTCGCAGGGCTTCGGCAAAGTGCCTTTGAATGTCGACGAAATGAACATCGACTTGCTTTCCGTTTCCGGCCACAAGATCTACGGGCCCAAGGGCGTGGGGGCCCTCTTCGTGAGGGCCCGGAGGCCCAAGGTGCGGCTCGCCCCCATTATTGACGGCGGCGGACAAGAAAGAGGCTTGAGGAGTGGTGAGCGAGGGGCCCTTTTGCCCGCCTGCAGGGCCGCGCTGGCGAAATTCGCCGCAGACCCCGCAGGCCCAGCTAGCAGCTAGGCCCTGCGGCCAGAGACGCAGCCAGCAACGGCGGCGCTGCAGCAGCAAATGCTTAGATTCAGCGCAGAGGCTTGCATGAAGGCATGCGAACTAGTGCAAAGGGCACGAGTCTTGTGCAAAGGGCACACAAATTAGTGCAGACAGCACACAGAATAGTGCAGAAGGCACGCAAATTAGTGCAAATGGCACACAAAGTAATGCAAAGTGCACACAATAATGCAAAATGCACACAAACTACTGCGAAAGGCACACAAACTAGTGCAAAAAGCGCACGGACAGATGCAAGTGGCGTCGCCGAGACACATAAAAGGCAGGGCGAGCCTTGGGGAGGTGGAAAAGGATTAAAAGAGATCTTAAAGCTTCGAGTTGCTGCTGTGAGCCTGCGGTTGTGCAGGGACTTTGCCGACGCCGCTAATTGTGGGTCTGGGGAAGGCGGCTTCGCTGGCGCTGGAGTGCATGGACAGCGACAGGCGTCACGTGGAGCGCATGGCGCGTTTGCTGCTGCAGCGGCTGCAGCAGCAGCTACCGCACATCACCGTCAACGGCAGCCTGGACCATCGCTACTTGGGGAACTTGAACATTTCATTTTCGTTCGTAGAGGGAGAGAGCCTCCTCATGAGCATTGGAGATGTCGCCATGAGCTCAGGTCACAAACGCTAAACCCAATTCCCTGGCTCTTTAGCCTTCTAAGGTCGCAACTCTCAGGCTATAAGATTCAACAAAAAGCCCAAAACCCGACTCATGGAGCCGAAGCGGGTCGTTAAATGGCTTTGTGTACTGATAGCAACTTGTATGGAGGCTCCTGAAGGCGCCGATGTTCGCGTTTGACGGTTTAGGGTTTGTAGGCTTTTGGCTGTGCAGGAAGCGCATGCACGAGCGAGTCCCTTGAGCCTTCTTATGTTTTGAGGTCCCTTGGAGTGGGAGAGGAGACGGCGCACACATCTATACGCATTGGCCTCGGTAGGCGGGACGGGAATTCTGGGGAGCTACAGAGAAAGGGGAAATAGCTACAATGTAGAGGGGTTTGGGAAAGTGATGGAGGTTTGTTCAGCTGTTGCATAGTGCCATTTGCTTTTTCGCGGCTCTATTTTCATTTTGTTGGTGTGGAGCTCCCGACACCTGCTGCCTTTTCAGTACTAGGCCAGCGGCTTCTAGTGTTGCTGCTGCTACTTGTGCTACCGCTGTAGCTTATTCTGTTATTTCTGTGCTGCTGGTGTTACTGCTGCTGCCACTTGTGCTGCAGGCCGCTTTACGCGTGAAGAGGAGGTGCGCCACTGCGCTGATCGATTAGTGGCTGAAGTCCGCCGGCTGCGCGAAATGTCTCCCTTATATGATGCGGCCATGGAGGCGATGAGTGGGAAAACAGATGACAGTCCCAAGTTGGTTTGGACTTGAATTAAAGAGGCCTTGGAGGTCTTGGGTTCCTTGAGGGCCCTGGGGGTTCTGGGGTAAAGGGGGCCTCTCAGTTTAAGGGCTCCGAAGGTGTTGCCAAACGCATGCACAAGCTTGTTGAGTTGTTTTGGGGGGGCCCCGCTGCAGGGCAAAGGCGCTCCTGATGGGTTCCCCAGCATTTCTTCTTAGAGTAGGCCTTTCGGGCCAGTAGTTTTAAGTCTTTGGAACGTACGGATGTGCGTTTAGCGAAGACAAATAACAGTAGTTTGTCTGTTCTTTAGGAGGGGCGGCGGCTTTATGTGGAGGCAGCCAGCTGCACTCTTTCGTCATAATAACACAGCGCATGCGCACCTGCGTATATAAACTCTTTTAGCATAAACGCAATGTCTACGGAGAAACATTTTCTTCCCTAATTTCGCACCGCCACAAAGGTGCAGGTTACGGGGGTGGCTCACCCCATTTGTGCATGGGTGCAACACTTGAACATACAAACGCGCGTAAGATTAGACATGTACAAATGTGTGTAAGCGCATACGCACATATATAAAGGCGCGTGTAACGTGCGAATGAATGTGTGGAAGGTATACAATCGCTCGCACGTTACACGTGCCTTTGTAGACTACATGGTTGCCCGTTCTCCTTATGTACAGCTACAGAACAGGTAAACACCTCAGCGCTGCTTACCTATCTTTAGCAGAATGAATACGCGGGTACAATACGAGGCGACTGCAGTACAAAAGTATGCAGAATGGATGAGGACATTGAGGAACCCGCTGATGTATTAGATTAGTAGATGGTCTTGAGAACCACGCATGCATCAACCGGCTTCATTTCAATAAGACGCGCTTGTCGCTGCCGCCGTAAAATAGTAGGTAGCATGAACGCATGGTAGGCTTAGTGAGTACCCTGTAGAGCTAAGAAGACAGTTTCAGAAATAAGGTTGTGGACACGTGCATGCAAATGAATTTGCCACCAGAAGATTGAAAGTTGTTTGCAAAGTGGGCATTTCAGCTCGCAAGACGCTTCATGGCCCGTGGGAGTGAAAGTTTCTTTCACTTCTAAGGGGAAAGAGGGGGTGCAAGCTGCCTGTTTGACTTGCAGGGGTAGCGCCCCTTTTGCTGCACTGGCCCAGCGAGGAAGACCCCCTGTGTTCCTCACCATATGCACCTTTGGCTGCCTAAGGCTTTCCCTCATTCATCAACCTTTTACTGGCCTAGCGTGGCCGGCAGGGGCCCAAAAAAAAGACCCGTCTGGAGCCCCTGGCTAGTCTTCTTCAAGTACTGCTTCCCCGTTCCCCACAGTACCTTTAGTGCAGAAAGGAAGATGCAGGCGCCGCTCTATTCTAGGCAGCAGCGTCAGCCCGATTTATCGGCTACAGCGGGCTGTAGGCACTTCTATACCCTGTTAACTTCTTTAACAAATAGAGCCGCTCAGTAAGCCGCTCCAGCAGCAATTTCTGGGGCCCACGAGTGGCACTCTGCTGCACATATCAGGTAGTAAAATGGCCTGCAAATGGCTTGTGTAACCGCCGAGTAACTTCGGCCATCACAGTTGGTTCAACTTTACAGATACAGACACAGATACAGACACAGTAATGCCCATTGGTAACTCCAGATGGGGATATATGCCTCTTTGAAGATGAAGTGTAGCCGGCTAGGTGTACACATAAAACAATGTGAACAAATTTAAATTTACGTACTCCTTTTACTGGGGGACTGCAGCTCCAGAGCGACTCTGGAGAACTGCGATCCCTGGCCCATCGCCTTAGCTCATGAACCTCTGTGACTAAGGGCATTAAAGCCGCCACGAACCAGCAACGCCCTTACTGTCTTGTGCAGCAACCAGAAACAGCAGCAGCTGCTGCTGCTCCGGCAGCAGCTGGCAGCATTTGCTGCTCTGGGCTGCTTGGACGGGGAGCCTGCTGCGTACGCCGCGCATCGACACATGCAATTGTTCCTCTGTCTCCTATCTAAAAGTATAATAAAAAGTATAATGGAGCAGCTCAGTTGTGTTGCTGCTTGGCTTCCTGTGCTAGAAAGCTACAGCGGTCTGGGAATCGCTGCCGACGTCCCCCAGAGGACCGGGGCCCCCCAGTGGCCCCCGTTGACTGCAAGCGGAAATATTGAACCAGCTAAAGGACTAGCTAGTCTTTTGCACTTCATGCCATTTAATTTGTAATTATGGTTGTATTCGCGTTCCCGGCAAATCCCGCTTGTAGTGGACAGCTTGTCGCCGCTGCTGCAGAGGAAGACCAGGGAGTCGATTAGGGGGCCCCTGGGGGCCCCCTGGGCTGCTTGAAAAGAAACGCATCCAGTGCTGCGCTTGCTACTGCTGCGACTACTCAGTTGCTTCTGTAGGTCAGCAGCAACAGCGCGTGCACAGCTCACGGGATTGAGTTTGAAGTCCTCAGCAAGCGGGTTGCCTCCTCAAGAAGGTACCGGTGCAGCAGGAATCCAAACGCGCAGCAGCAGCAGCAGCGCTTGGTGCTGCTGCTGCTGCCGCTGGGCAGCGACAGGCCCGCTCTCGCCCAGTACTCAACCGTCCGCTCTTGTTGACAGCTCCTTCGCACACTCAGCTGCAACGGCTGTAGCAGCAGCAGCTGCTGCAGGAGCACCCGCAGCGCATGAAGCAAAGAGACCTTGCCGCTTCTGTCTGCATGAGACGGCAGAAGTGAAGAAAGCCAAAATAACTCTTACTTAAGCCTGCGATATGTCCAGCGACACACACGGCAGGAACTGCAACAGCTGCAGCAGCTACAGCAGCTGCAGCAGCAGCAGCTGCAGTTCCAGCAAGTGCTACAGCAGCTGCTGCAACAGCCGCGGCTGCAGAAGCCGCCGCTGTGCTACTTCCCGCGGAAACGGTGGCCCTTCACAATGCCTTTTGAGAACAAAACCCTTTCGAGCGCTACGGGGCTCGCCCTTAGCCTTTCTTCTGCTGCTGCAGCTGCTGCTGCTGCTGCTGCTGCTGCAACAAGGCAGTGGCGTGCTCGCGTATCGTTTGGCGCCTCCGCCATCATCCTCTCAGACTTTTCATGTTCATTCGCTCGACCTCTCCGGCGGTTTTGTAAGAACGCAGCAGATTCCAGCTAGCTCCGCTGCTCGTGCTGCTCCAGCCGCTCCTACTGCAGCAGCGCTGTCCGTCGGTCCTGCTACTGCTGCTGCTGCTGCTGCTCCTGCAGCAGCAACAGCCTATACTGCTGGAGGTCCTGTGCCGCCTTGGGCCGAGGATCGTATGCGTATCCGCCATGTACACGCGCTGGTAGAAAAAGTGGAGCAGCAACAGCAGCAGCAGCAACAGCAGCAGCAACAGCAGCAGCAGCAGCAGCTGTTACAGGCCGATGTCTGCGTGTGCGGGTGGGTGGTGTCTCTCCGTGAAGGCAGCGGAGGGTCTCTTATGTTTCTCGACGTGTCTGACGGCTCATGTGCTCAGCCTTTGCAGTGCCTAGTTCCAGCAGCAGCAGCAGACGCAGCAGCAGATGCAGCAGCAATGGCAGCAGTAGTTGAGGAAAAAGAAGGGCATGCAGCGCCGCGAGGGCGGAGACTTAGGAGAGGGGACTCCATCTGCGTGAGGGGCGATTTGGTCCTCGTCAAAGATAGAAGACACAAGGTCGAGCTGAGAGTCCCTCCCCACAGCAGCAACAGCAGCAGCAGCAGCAGCAACAGGAGCAACAGCAGCAGCAGCAGCAGCAGCACGGGTAGGCATGAGGAGCCTTTTCTATCTGTACAGACGTGGGAGCTTCATGGAGGAGACGATCGCCCCCTGTCCAGCTCTGCGCAAACCTCAGCAGTCCCGGCAGCAGCCCCAGCAGCAGCCTCAGCAGCAGCAGCAGCAGCAGCAGCCCCAGCAGCAGCAGCAGCAACCAGGACAGACGTGCTGCGCTACCCACTGCCAGTGCGGGGAGCCTCGCTGGAGTTCTGCAGGCAAAAAGGCATTGGCTTTAGAGCTCGACATCCACTTTTTGCTGCAGCTTCGCGCATTCGGGCTGAGACAGAAAAGTGCCTTCTGGACTTTCTCGACGTGCGCTAGAGAACTTGCCGCTGCTGCAGTGCTGCTGCTGTGCTGCTGCTGCAGTCACTCGTGCGGCTGCTGCTGCAAATGGTGCTCCTGCAATGCTGCTACTGCAGTGCTGCTGCTACAGTCGCTCCAGCGGCTTTTGCAATGCCACTCCTGCAGGTGCTGCTACAGCGGTGCCGTTGCTGCAGCACTGCTGCTGCAGTCACTGCTGTAGCGGTTGCAGTGCTGGTGCTGCAATCACTTCTGCAGCAGCTGCTGCACTTGCTGATCGCATGGCTTACCTAACTCTAGCTGCCCTTATTGTGCTGCAGGCTCAAGGGTTCCTGAGAGTGCGGACTCCCATCCTCACGGGTCTGGACTGTGAATCGTCGGGTGACACTTTCACTGTTTGTTCTCCTAGGGACGCTCCCCGCAGCAGCAGCAGCAGCAGCGACAGCAGCAGCAGCAGAAGCAGCAGCAGACTGCTGCTGGGAAAGCCCATGTTTCTCAGTGTTTCTGGCCAGCTCCCCCTCGAGGCTCTTTCCTGGGGCCTGGGAGATGTTTACTCTCTTTCGCCAGCCTTTAGAGCGGAAAATTCAAATGTGCGTTGGTGCTGCTGCTGCCGCTGGTTAAGTTTGCTGCTGCTTCGAGCCCGCACAAATGTCTTTTCTTCTGCTTGTAACTGCAGCCATAACCGCAGCCAGGTGTTGCTACTTGAGTGCCTTTTCCCTGTCTCACCGGCGCTTCTGTTGCTGCTGCTGCTGCTGCTGCCGCTGCAGACGCAGCGTCACTTGTGTGAATTCTGGATGTTGGAAGTTGAGGCTTCCTTTGCCAGCCGGCCGATGCTAATGCGGCTTGCTGAGAGTATCCTCCGTCATGCCTTGACCCACGTGCCTGCCGCATGCAAGCAGGACTTTGCTGTCCTTGCTGCCCACCGAAGAAGCAGCAACAGCGGCAGCAGCAGCAGCGGCGGCGGCAGCAGCAGCAAGGAGAATGCGCAGACGCACGATGCACACATGGACATTTTAGCGTCTGTCGTAAGCTTTGTGTAAAGGCGGCGCCAGCAGGAGTGGCAGCAGCAGAAGTAGCAGCAGAAGGCAGCAGCAGACGTAGCCTTAGTAGTTCATGCTGCTGTTGCTGCAGTGTTGGGCGCGCCAATGCATCCATGTGCGGTTTCTCCTCAGGCTTCTCAGCCTTTTGAAGTGATCACCTACTCTGAAGCCCTGCGTCGCCTTCAGGAGGAAGGTGTCTCACTTGAGTGGGGGAACGATTTGGGGGCTGATGAGGAGAAGCTGCTGCTGCAGCAGACGGCGCGCAACAACGGCAGCAGCAGAGGCCTTGTCATTGTAGACCATGCTCAGTCTCTCAAACCTTTTTACATGCGATTCAACTCTGCCGGTGACTCACCCGTGGATAGACAGAGAGACAAAAACAGCAGCAGCTGCAGCAACAACAGCAGCAGCAGCAATGGCAACACTGTGGCTTCTTTCGACATTTTACTGCCCAGCGTCGGGGAGGTAGTAGGAGGATCTCTGCGAGAAGAAAGGCTGCATCTTCTTGAAAAGTAATCGTGACTTTTCCACCTGTTCTCTCCCCTATTTGTGCGGTTTTATCGTTTGTGAGGCTCACTGATTACTGCGTTTTGAGCCTGTCACAGTATGGGCAGTAGTGAGCCCCACTGTCTCACTGTCCGCTATTTGTTCGTGCCTCTTCCTCTGTCTGTGGCACGTCATGTCTCGCCGTTGCTGCTACTTTGCTGGAATTCTCCCCTCACCGCCTACCCACGCAGATGCTTCCTGCACAGGGGCGGCTGCTGAGTTGTCTGTTCCTAGACAAGCAGCGCCTCTGTACGCATTGCTGCTGTTCCTACTGCTGCTGCTGTTGCTGCAGAGCCATGCGGGAGAAGGGCGTGTCCACTGAAACGTACGGTTTCTACCGCGACCTCCGCCTCTATGGCTCTCACCCCCGAGGGGGCTTTGGGCTTGGGCTGGACCGGCTTCTGCTTCTCCTCACAGGGCTCTCCAACGTCAGAGACACAATTCCTTTTCCGCGGGCACCCCGATATGCTCCCTTATAGGAGAGTATGCAGACAAATATACTCAGCTTGCAAGCAACTGTATAGACACGCCAAAAGCGATTGACGCAGTCTCTCCCCAGCCGTTGCCGCAGTGGTTGCTGCGGCTGCTGACTGTTTTTTGCAAAGCTGCAGTGCCTTCTTGGCACTTAAGCGCTCGCCACAGGCTCAAGTGAACCTTTTAGTGTTTTCCAACATCATCTCCTATTTTTTTCATTTTTCGCACTTTTGCAGCCGCTCCTCTACCACAGAAGCTTCTCCCTGAAGAAAAGTCGACACTATCTGTACCTAGCTGCTGATAGTTGCACCTTGTTGCAGGTAGCTGCAACTGTGGAAAAGCGCTCGCTGCAGCTAGCTGCGACTGTGGAAGGGCACTCAGACACGACTTGGAGCCGTGCTAAAGGGCTTGAGTAGCTGTAGCTGAGGGGGGCAGCCGTTGCCACATTTGTTCCTAGCTGCGGCAAGCGCAGTTAGTTGCAGTTTCTATCTCCAGCAGCGGCGTAACAGAAAGAGCCGCAGCGGCAGCAGCAGTCAGGGCTTGGCAGGAACAGGGAGGTCTTTTGGCACAAAGGCACTCGAGGCAATGCGCCCTGATGTGCGTGGTCTTGTAGCCTCAGTTAATGTTCGCCTTCTCCGCATACGTCATAGCTCGTCGATTTCCTATTCTTCACTGCTTGTGTGCAATTTTTATCTGCCTCTGCAGGCCGTGGACTGCTACATAGACGGAATGTGCTTAGACATGTCGCTATTAACGTTAAACAAAACTGGAAAGCCTTACAGGGAGTCGTATTCACGACAAAAGCAAGAAAAGATGCGTCAGCCGGGAGTCGAACCCGGGTCACCTGCTTGGAAGGCAGGAATCCTAACCGTTGGACTACTAACGCGCCGGGTTCTGGCTGTTGTCGCCGTCTGCAATACCTAAATTGGGAACCTCGCATCAATGCAGTGAAAATTAACTTAAAAAAATACGCAGATTATTTGATAATGTCCAGGAAATGCTAAAAATAGAGTTTTCTTCCCTATTGAGAGGAAGACAGCCCTTGAGGGGGTCCCGCGGTCGGTGCGCTACTGAGGAGCTGGAGGCATCGAAACGTTCTGCTTCTTGCATCACTTGACTGGAAAAATTTGGCTCTTCAGCTTTTGCCCTTGCATTTTATGCGCTGAAGAATAAATGCTTATTTAACACAAGCTGGCACTAATACTTGTTGATACACAACTCTGCCTCGCCGTGTGCGCAACAGAGTATATTAGCAGGCATGCTGGCAGTCTCGTAGGGCTCCAGTTGCTGGTGCTTTTAGAGGGGCCCTCAGGTGCTTTAAATGTGTCTCACGACATATGAGTAGCTTAGTGAAATAAGTGGAGCTGAATATAAGCCCCGAGGGGAGGTCGATCAAACTGCAGCCGCACCTGCTGGCGAGGTGGAGGCTCTAAGTTGGTTGTAACACCATGGAGTAAACTAGCGATACTGCACCTATAGATTAGCAGCAACAGACAAACAGCGAGCACTGGCACAACTGTCGCTTGGCTGCCCGCAGCAAATCTAAAGTAGTCAGCACCTGGGGTTAGTTAGTTCTGCTGGCCGCAGAGGACAGTTTCGCTGAGGTTTCTGGCATTGGGCTCTAGCTGGAACTGTGAATCTCTTTACCTGATTCCTAGCCACCACGATGCCTCTGGATCCTCGGCTTGAGGGCCTCTTTCGACGCCAGGTCAGCGCTGCCGCTGTTAAAGACCAGAGACGGAAACACGAGGACGAGACTAAGAAGCGTGCTATTGTTTCTGCTTCCAACTATGGAGAGTTCAAAGCCCTCGTAGACGGCTGTCACCTGAGGCCTCTTGCTAGAGACGACTTCAGCAAACAGGCAGAGAGGCAGCTCAACCCGCATGCTGCTAGAGTGACTACTCTTGACTTAGCACCTGGAGCTTCCGATCCAGACAGCAGCAACAGCAAAGCCACTGATGAGAATGCACAGATACGCAATCAAGCGCAACTAAGCAGACAGTGGCAGGCGCGCGACAAGGACCCAGATGGACAGTGCAGGTGCCTTTCATTCCGCGAGGCATTCCCCTTTTACTTAGTTACTTGATACACTGATAGAAAAACCAGCGAGGTGATGTGTAGAAGCAAAAGCAATCTGTACGCGTGTCGAGGTTTGTGCACAGTTGGCTGCTTGAGCAGCCACAGGAAGGGCTGCAACGCATCTTTTCCGTCGACATCGACCCTCAGCTCCTGCTGCAGCTTCTAAAGGCCCTTGCTTCTCACCTCTCCACCCTTGCAGCATCTCGTTGCAACAGCTGCTGCTGTTGCTGCCAAACCCGCCAGGCAGCACCACCAGCGAAAACTGAAGCAAAGGCTCCTAATGGAGTGGACGCTTCCGCTTTTTGTTGCAGAATTGCATATCGCGTTTATCTGACTGCAGGTTTTCTCACTTTCTTGTCTCAGCTGAATGCAACAGCTAAGGGGGCCAGGCTACTCCTGCAGCAGGAGCTGCAACAAGTGACCTCATCGTTTGAACAATCTCTTGCCGCTCTCCACTCACCAGTGGTTCCTCCCACGGCTGCTAAAGCACCAAATGCAGCGGTAGACGACTCCACCGAAACAGTGGCAAGTGAAAAGTGTGCTTGCTGCTGCGGCCGCCAACTGGCGGAAACGAAAGAAGATACGACAGCGAATGCAGCAACTGGTGAGGCAGCAGGTAGCTCCAACCAGGGAAGTACCACAGTTGCAGAGTGCTGTCAGACCCAGCAGGCTGTGAAAGCACTGCTGCAAACACTGGGGGCCCCAGAGCTGCGTCGGTGACGCAAGGCGCCAACTTTGTATGAGTTGCGAGACAAATAAAGGAATACATTGTACTTTCTCTATTTGCTTGTCCACCAACTGCACTAACACTGCAAAACGAGCGAGCCTCGTTACATACGCTACCGAGCTAACTAGTAGAGGCAGTTTCAATCAAGAGTATTCAGGCGATTTCCTTTGCCGCTATACGGCGAAGCTTTGTGACTTGAGATGAAACAATTAGTGTCTGATGCTGCTGCTACTCGTTACTCCCTGGGCGCTGCCCATGCGACAAAAGCTACTGAAGCAATTGCAGACAGCAGTGTCTACAACTGCCAGAAAAAAAGAAAAGGTGGAAATTGAAAAGAAAACGCGTAAAACCGATAGAGCCGGAAATAAACAGAATTGAAAGAGCAAGTTCTTAAGCCAAACAGTAAAGCCAACTGCTTCGCGCTTGTTACAAAACAAACGAGCGTGCGATGCTTTTCACCTGCCACCCCTAGCTTGAACCAGTGTAAAATGCCCATAGATGCCCCGAAACACACAGGAATTTTACGGGGCTCTGAAGGCCATTGAAAGCTTTCAGGGGCTGCTGGTGCGTTTCTAACAAGCTCCGCTTCGCCATTTACAAATGAATACTTCTTGAAGGGCTATGACCTGTCTCTCCTAAACCAAACACCTAGGCAGGCTACGAGGACTCCAGAAAACCTCAGTAAAAGCCTGCAGGGGACTAAAACATCGACACGGCGGGATAGATGTCGACGAAAAACAGTGAAAAACTAGCCAGCGTAGGCAACTACCTGACCGTCTACGCAGGTAGCTGGCTAGCTGAGGTATAACCTGAGTAGGATTTCATACAGCCAGCCTTGTTGTGGTGCCCGAGGAGTGTCCGATGATGCACAATTTACTAATGCCGATAAAAATGCCTGTTTCGACAACGCCAACAACCTGAAGGACGTAAAAGCGCAAAAAGCTCGGAGTAAGCAAAGAACAAGCAAGATAGCGTGTATGTGCACCATCTGCAGTGAGCGTACGCCAAACACAGCTTGTTGTCCCGAGATGGAATTTATACGCTGGTGCTTATTATCACGCACGCGTGGGCAGCAACACTCAAAAGGACGGTCACACTCAAGGTCTTGCACGAATCAGGGTCATACTGCAAAGCTACTGTGGGTGCTGTTGCAGCAACCGCAGCAACGACGAGCCACCAGGACAAACCGCTGCAAGAACATATATAAGGAAGACAAAAGCCTAAGCGGCACGAAATACAAGGTCACAATCACTCCAAAGAGGTTACCACAATGTAAAGCAGACGATCCAGAGATTGCTGCAAAACTTGGATTTAGGGGTTAAAGCAAAGGACTGGGGATTTACGTTGATGAGTCTGTCGTGCATCTTTTGTGGATCAGGGATAGGTCTTTTAAAGAACAAATCAAGACAGAAGTTTCCGTTGTCTGAGACAAACAACTCCTCCTTGTTTTCATGATGCCTGAACACCGCTGACACGCCTAGCCCTTCTGCTGCTTTCTCTGCAGTCTCTTCCTCTGCCTCTAAGACCTCTCCACCCAGGACGGAAACAACGGCGGAAAGCACGGCCTGCCGCGTCGCCTGCGCTCCAAATTGCACGACTTCTAGTGCAACTGCTCCCGTCGTCCCGAAGGAGTCCGGCTGCACGACTTTGCCTTCGTCGGCCACCTGAAGAAGCAACAGCATTAGAAATAAGCATGCAGCTCACCACAAGCCTTAAGCATGAAAACGTTACAGAAGCAGCACTAAAGCGATCTTCCGGAGAAAGGAAGGCAGAGGAAACTGTCTAACAGATAAGTATTACTAAATGCCGAACAGACAAGTCGTGCGGGAGCGTCTGTGCAGGCAGCCGCAACGTATTTTTCGTGAGCTTGTGCGCATTCATATAAAGGACGTTCCTAGACCCACGCAAATAAACGCTTTGGAGTTCACTTCAACAATCTTCTCCCGCAGCAAAGCGCCACCCCGACCCTTTATCAGCACCAGCCTGTGCCACCAAAAACAGAGCGTGCAGCAGCAGGAACAAAACAGAAAAACGCAACCGCGGAATTCCATGCTCGCTCCCCTTCAAAAAATGTTCACGTCGGTGCTGGACCTCAAGCTTGTTGCGATGCAGCCCTAGCTAGGCCCCTACACCCCTCAGTGTACATGAGTTTTAGTCCTTACTGTGAGCCATTCTTCAGCACTTCGTCGGCGCCGTCAATGGTCACGTCCAGAGGCAAGCTAATTTCGTCGAGGGACATTACATTGATGCCAAGGGATTCTGCCTGCAGGGTCACAACACAATGAAATGCAAGTGTCTTGTTCAGCAACAGCGCGGCACTCTATACAAGCCGCGCCGCCTGCTACTGCTGGCAGACGGACATGAAATTATGAGCGTTTTCATGTGCTGAGAGGAGGTGGTGTCGCTCTGCTTGCTGTTGGGTCTCACGAGCTTGCGAGTCGCCTCACTAGTGGATGCGCAGCTGATGTCTGTGAGCTCCCCCTGTCGGATTCTCTCTGCCAAACGTTCCACTGCAAACGAAGCCGTTGAGCCTGTTCCAAGGCCTACTTTCATTCCAGACTTGATGCATGTGTTCACCGCCTCACTGGCCTGAAGTTGCGAGCATGCAGCGGCAGGCGCGTCGTCAAGGGCTTGAGGGTGATTCCCCAGTGGGCGGCTTAAATTTTAATCTATGCATAAATTGATGAAAGACGAACGATATGACGATGAGTAATGCGATGGAAACGATAGAAGAGGAATGGCTTCTGTGCCACGAAATCATTGAAATCCAAGATAGGGAGGCCCACAGCAGGGCATGCAGGCGTGGAACCATGGGAGAAAAATTCCAGATAAACAGTAGTACGTAGAAATGCTAGAAAATTAAGTCACATAAGTAGACTTTTCTCAATGAGAATGTCTGAGAGCCAACAATGGAGCCCAGAGCATCGGCATCTCAATCATGTGTATCTAGATAAAGGCAGGACTGCGGGAAACTTCCGCCTACTATGATCACCAAAAGTGGAAGAAGTGTGTTTAATCTTACGGCAATCCTCTTTGATTCATCACTTGGATTCATGATTTTCCTCTCTCGTTCAACGTTCAGTCACCGGAAATCGAGTGAGTAACGGAACGTTGATGAACAGCTCGGGGAACTCCTGGTCAGTCCCTTAGGCGAAAAGTTGTCAAATAAGTGCAGAAAATTCAAAGCAGATTTTTCAATGAGCATAAATTATCACCTCTACATGACATTGAACAGAATGCAGCCGTCAGGGGCCCCGCTGCCCAGCCTGCTGCGGTCTTGCATGGGCGGTTGAATTAAATGGCATCGCCTTCCGCTGCAGCCCTCACTGCCGTACCCCCCAGCAAACAGATATTGTACGTTATTTAATACGAAGAAGATTGGCACTTCTGACTCTTCTAAGTCATGCAAGGGGCGCAGATTGAGCACAAACGCTCGCCGACCCCAACACCCCCTTAGTCGGCACTGGCACCTGACGAAGGGCCTCACAATCTTAGCGCCCCTGCTTACGTGGTCTTCGTTGGAAAAGTGAAGGACGCAGACAGTGCTAGAGTGGCGGCCTGATGGCATATCTACTGTTACTTCTGCCTACCCCCTTCCCTTTGTGCAATGCACGCGGAGGGTAGCCCGTTCAGCTGGCAGCAGCAGCAGAAGCAACCGTGGCAGTGGAGTCAGCGGCAAGCTGAGCAGCGCTCTTGGCATGCAACAGGGGAGCAGCAAGAGCAACGTCCCATAGACACTTCACAGCAGACACAGGGCCCAGGACAGTCTCGCTGGCAGCAACGGTGCATGTACACTGGAGAGGACGGCTACCAGCAGCTACAAAAGGACCCATCACAACAGTACTTCCACCAACTAGGCAACGAGACGCCGCAGTGGCAGCAGCAGCGTCTTCAGCAGCAGCAGCTGCTGCTGCAGCAGCAGTGGCAGTCTGAATGCGACGACCGCCAGGAGGCCCAACTGCCGCCGCCCAAACCATGGGAGCCCTTGAACCAGGCACGGCGTCGGCAATGGCAACAGGACCTACAGCAGCAGCAGCAGTCGCAGCTGCTGCTGCAGCAGCAGGGGCATGAGCAGCAGCAGCCCAACAGCGGACCGTCAGAACCATCAGGGTCCCCCAGCAGCTCCTCACCATACCCGCAGCAGCCACCTCAACTTCAGGAGCAACAGAGAATTCAGAGCTTGTCGCGATGGGGGCCAATGACGCAAGCCTCGGAGTGGCAGCAGCAGCAGCAACAGCAGCAACAACAGCAGCAGCAGTGGAGGGAGCAGACCCAGTCTGAAAGCGACGACCGCCAGGAGCCCCAACTGCTTCCGCCAAAGCCATGGGAGCCCTCAAATCAGGCACGGCGTCGGCAGTGGCAACGGGGGCTGCAGCAGCAGCAGCAGCAACAACGACAACAATCGCAGCAGCAGCACGACGATAGGCTGAAGTACGGCGCACTTGAGGGAGACCAAGCAACTCCAGCAACACCTGTGCCGCGGACAAAGCGAGTATGGGGTTTGTCCAGAGCAGCAGTAGCAGCAACAAGATCTCCAGCAGCAGCTAGCAGCAACTGGAATCCTAGAGCGTGGCCCTCCACAGACCCGCATGCAGGAGACCCTGGAGGCGACAGCAGCAACGCCAGCAAGAGCAGCAGTTGCAAGCGAGAGGAGCTGTCCTTCGAAGGAATAAAGGCAGCAACTGCTGCAGCAGCAGTTGCTGCAGCAGTGCTGCAGTCAGCAGCGCGACAGCAGCCCTCCGTGCTGATGCCGCCAGCAGCAGAGCCAGACCTCCCCGGCCCTGCAGGCCGCTTGCTGCGGCGGCGACAGCAGCAGGAGAAGGGGAAAAGAATTAGGTGGGTTTTTTTGCAGAGTTTTTCCACCTTTGTCTCAGTTTGCTCATCCCCTCAAGCTTTAAGCTCTTATTTCTTGCTGCTGCGCTGCTGGGCTTGAGCACTGTTCAACTAAAAGAGACGCAATTTGGTTAAGAGTGTAGGAACTAGGATCAGTGCTTGTGCTGACTGTGCAGAGGATTAGCAGGGGACTCCCCGTTTGCCCTTGAGAAGGGCCACATTCGGTCTGCTGACAGCTCCCAGTCGTTATCGACTGCTGCTGCTGCCGTTGCTGCTGCTGCTGCTGCACCGGGGTTCACATCCTGCCCAGGCTGCTGGGGTGGTGCCTGGCTAGGGCTACGCCACTGCGACACAGCAGCAGCAGCTGCAGCAGTAACAACAATGAACGGGTGGACTGATGAAGCAAATGAGCAAAGAGCACCTCTGCAGCACTCTGCTTCCTGGGTTCGCGCGGTTCTCTTCCTAGGCTTCCCATTCGACGGTAACATTTTTCTCTTACTGCTGCTGTTGCTGCTGCTGCAGTTGTGATGCGGCTTCAACTACTCCCGAATTCGAACTTCAGCTTTCTCCACACATGGCTCTTACAGAGTTGAGCATACGTATAATTAGGCCTTGCTTGGGTGTATCTACACTGCGGCTGCAGCATTTCACTTAGGCTTAACTCCGTCTCCCTCTCCCTGTCCTCGCATGTAAGGTTCTCAGTAGCAAACACAAAACGAACCTGAAAGAGAAATATGAGTAATCGGTCAGTCTTTAGGTCTGCCTCGATATGGCGAAATTGTCCGCCGCTCCTGAGTTTTACTGCTGCTGGGAGTTGCTGCTGCCGTACTTTACCGCTGCAGTAGGTCTCTGCTGTTGCTGCTGCTGTTTCTTGCTGCAGCATGTCTTTTCTTGTGGAATCAAATGTTTCCGCTGTGCTGCGCTACTGCGACTCGCCAGTGACGAAGGTGAGGGCAAGATGCATCAACTGCCGAGGACAAGTCTCCTTAAAATTACCGACGGGACGAAAATCGCTTGGGCTAGAAACTGCAGCTGCTGCCGTCGTTGCTGCTGCAGGTGCCGCACTTGCTTTTGTTTTTGAAGTACGCAATAATGGGCGACGATGAAGGCACGCTGACGGACCGGTTGCTGGTTGCCGCTGTAAGTGGGATCCAGCTTTAACGAGCTGTTCAAGCATTTCTACTCTCCCTTGAGTTAACAGGAAATGTCCTTTCCGGCCTATCGAACTGGCAAACATTTCGCAGACCTATACAGACACGCGAAAATTGTTACACCTACGTGCATCCGTTTAGACTTGAGGAAGAAGATATGCGTAATGTATTCGAAGACCAGTTGTAATTGGCTCTACATGATGTAGCTCTGTAAGCAGCGAAAATCTGCGCATAATGCTTGTGAATATAACTGGCAACTATCTGCCTATCTGTTTTTCATATGCAGTGACTGCGGCACACAACACAGAATCTTATTCTCGTCAGGTGCAACACATGCAGGCAAACGGCAGCCAAAAAATGCATGAATCTACTTCGGAATTGTCTATTTATGTACAGTTTCCATATACTACTTGGCAAATGTCCCCCTTAAATGTTTTCATTCATCTTTTTGATGCTCGCCTCTAGTATTTCTCTGGCTTTGCATGCCCTCTATCCTTGGGTCTCCTGCTCGCTACTCCGTCTTTCTGTCGTCTGTCTTCTATCTGTCTTCTTGATGTGCATGAATTTCTTGTTTTCTTTTTGCACCTCTTGCCTATCCGCTTGTGCCTCACCTCGCGCCAGCCTTTGCATGCTTATTTGTATGTTGTTTGCCATCTGTTCCTTTTGAAGGACCCGACGGGCGAAGTGGTGTGCTCTGTCCATTCCTCCGTCTCTGAGACGTTCCATTTGTGTCCCGGAAGCACTGTCATCCTACAAGAGGTCTGCAGCCAGTCACTCCGTCGTGTTGCTACGAAGCTGCTGCTGCTACCCCTGCTTTGGTTGCTGTCTTCCTGGCCAGTGTAGAGGCCCGTCTGCGAATGACACACGATTCAAGCATTCGCCTGCGTGCAGTTCTGTATATTTCGGGTATACATTATTACATATTGTGTGTTTGTACTTAGCCTACGGTGTACTACGCGGCATTCAAGCTGCCTTACGTCCTCATCACCCAGCGCTCTCTCGTGAGGGTAAAATAAGCACCCACCTCCTCATCTCTCTTTGTGTCAAATTCCGTGCTCTTTCCTTCGATTTTTGACTAATTAGCCCTCCTGCCGAGTTTGGTTTGTTCTGGACCTGCAGCCCCCAATATTTTCATTTCTACCGTTCCTGCTCCCTCCATAATCATCCTTGGATTGTATCGATCTTGCTGTTTGCGCCTCTTGCCATGTCTGCTTGTTGATGGTGGCCTCTTCGCTTGTGCATTCTTTTAGTTCTGTTGTCCATTAAAATGGTGTGGCTCCTAATTATTTTAATTACGTCCCTTCTCCCGTCCCCTTAATATTTGCCTTTATTCTTGATATTGCCGTTGCTGTTATTCCCTCTGCTTATTTTCTGTCCATTTTACAGGCATTTCCCCCGAGCTTTATAGACGACGGGCTCCGGCAGCAAGCTGATGAGGCTCGCGAGGAGTGGGAGTACAGAGTGAGCCCTTACCTCGCATCCCAGCTCCATGCTAAGCTGCCCATCTAGGCTGCTACCTAAATAGCTCTCAGGCCCAGTCTTTTTCTTTTATTGACTGAATGATATTTTGCGTTCGCCATTGCTGCTGCAGTGGCGTGGAGTCCACGGCGAAATCACAGGAGAGCCCGAAGGGAATGCATTCAGGTCCCAGCCACTGGAGTCTTCCCAGTTAGCCAACTAATTACTGGTGAGCTGGATACCTTGCTGTACCATCTCGCTAGCGTACTTGACTAAACAGAAGGGTACCTGGCTAGCCGTTTTCCCAGCTAGCGATCTATCTGGGAAGACGGTTTCATAGAAGCCTGAGAGCCCCGGAAAGGCGCACCCTTGCCTTCCGCGTCTGTTTCCCTTGTTAAACCATGGACTGTGAAAGATGAAGCCTCTAATAAGCGCAGTCAAAAGCATTTAATCCCGTACAGTTCGACTATTTAGAGGCTCAAGCAGGAAACATCAGACAGCCTCAAAACTGCAGATAGCAGCTGACAAGAAAGAAACTTCCGCACTGGCTGCCAGCTCTACTATGCTAGCCAGCCACCTTTCTAGCAAAAAATTAGCTATACTTGGGGCCTCGCTCCAAGGATAGGGCCCGCCTTCTCGTGTATTGCGCGGAGCAGTGGCTCTGCGAGCGCCTGGCGGTAATGCACATCTGCCCCGTCCAACTCTTCAAGGAACACCTGCTGGTGGTAGGGCAACGACTGTTGCTGTTGTTCTAACTTCTGCTTGTTTTCGTTGTTTTCTTGAAAAAACTGCTCATCAACGGACGCGGCAAAGGGGGGCTGCCTCCAAAGAAGAGCCAAAGAGTCGATCGCCACCTGCGACTCAGCAATGCGCCAGATAAGACACCACGGAACTGCTTCTACAGCTGCAGCTACTGCTGAATCTGCTGCCCGCAAAAGCAGTTAGCTTTGCGTGCGCCCTCGGCAAGGAAAGATGGCTTATGTCGCAATGTGTGGAGAACGCAATTTCTCGCTTTTCTCCAACACCAGCAGTAGGAACGACAGCAGCAGCATCACTTGCCTCTAAATTGTCCGTGTCTGCGTCCCACGCCGAAGCAGCAGGTCGTCGCGGCAGCAGCTGCTGCCGCCTGGCTACTGCCAGCAGAAAGTGCCTCCCCGAGAGAGACCAACTTTTTGAAAATTTATACGCCCGAGACAAGAAACCTGACACACAAATTTTCCACAGAGGGGCCTGTTACCTATCACTTCAGCAATTGTGAAAAGAATAAACCACAGATACAGCACAAGTAATTTAGAGCAAGACGTAACATCACCCGCAGACACATTTCCGAAGGCGTTCGAGGAGTTTCCACTCAATTTGCTACTGCGCGCTGGATCTCAACGCCCCAGTGAGCTTCTTCAAAGCGCAAAGGCTGCCACTGGTGATGCTGCCACCGATACAGTTGCTGATGCGACCAGTGCAGCCGCGATCTGCGTTGCTTCTCCTGATGAATCTGCTGTTACCGTGGCTGGTTGTTCTGCTGCAGTTGCTGCAGATGCCTTCTGTTGCCACTGGGGCCGCGTGTACACTTACGCGTGAAATTCTCCCTATGAAGTTCCTGCAGCGCTGTTACTAGGCCTTGGGCGTCCTCGCTCACAGGCGGAGGTGTCATCTGCGTCAGCAAACATAGTAGCACTGCTGCTCGGCTCTTTCAGAAGATGTTGCCGCGACATTGGTGGGGTGTTTGCGTCAGCAAACATAGTAGCATTCCCGCTGGGCTCCTTCAGAAGATGTAGCAGCGACTTTGGGGGCTACAGCAACATAAGTATCAAAAGCTGCAGCAGCATCACCTCAAGCATTTCCGCAAAGGCACGAACGTCAGCTGCAAGACGGCCAGACCGCACAGGCGAGGCCATGGACAGGAAATCCCGCATGGATCTCTCGTGCTGCTGCCGCTGCAGCAGCTGGTGCTGTTGTTGTTGCTGCTGCTCCCACTCAGCTGCTGTGAAATCATTTGTTCCCTCTATGCCTTGAGTCTGCTGCTGCTGCTGCTCTAGCAGGGAGTTGCAGTAGTGCTCTGGTGGCTGCTGCACCAGGTCTTCCTGCTGTTCAGTGACGAACTGTAAGTCCACCAAAAACTGCAAGAACGGCTGCAAAGCAGCAGCAGCAGCAGCAGCAGGACAGACACAATGCGAGCAAGCATAAGGGCATTCTGTCAAGTAAAGAAAATTTGTCGTATGTGCATAAAGCACTTCCTGCTGCGCTACATGAGACCTGCTGCTGGTGCAAGCGTGCCAAAGTGGCAGCAAATGCAGCCACAGCAGCAGCGTAAAGAAGCAGCAGCAGCCCTTGCTGCTGCCGAAGCCAATCGGGAATCTTTAAGAAAAGTGTTACCTTCCGTGTTTGAATTGCAAGCTTCCGCATCTTCGCAGCTGCATTCGCTGCTTCTGCTGCTGCTGCTGGCCCCACTAGCGTTTCAACTGGGACGCGAAGACCCAGCAAGGCATGCAGCTGCTGCCATTCTGTGAGGACGAAAGCGCTGTGTGTTTCTAGTGAAGCCTTTTTCCGCCTGTGCATTCCCTGCACCTGCTGCAGCAGGCCACGCCCGCCTTGGCGCTCTACCTCCTCCTGCTGCAGCAACAGCAGCTGCTGCTGCTCTTGCAAAGCTTCAAACTGCTCCCGTGCCCGCTGCTCTTGCTGCCGCGCCAGCAGAGCCAGTCGCGGCACGACTCGAGTGGCAGTGAAAGAACACCTGAGGTAAGTACACACTATGCAGTACTTGGTCCTCAGCAGCAAACGCGCAGCAGCAAGTGCAGCAGCAGCAGCAGTAGCAGCAGCAGCAGCAGCAGCAGCAGCGGACACAGTGTCGTGAGCCGCACCAAACACCGTCATATATGGCTCGGTCATGCGCTTGAGCAGCAGCATTAACCGCTTCTTGCTGCTCTGGGTGCAGCAGCAAAGCCTTCTGCTGCTGCAGCAGCTCGGGCAGTTGCTCTCGGTGCTGCTGCACAAACCGAAAGGCCAGTCTTGTGCGCATTTCCGTCAGCTTTCTATTTCGCTTCGGCTGCTTCTTCAGGGGCACTCGCATTTGCTGCAGGTGAGTGGGAAGTCTTTGTTCGAGCTGGTGCTGCTGCAGCTGCGGGGGCACTGGGGTGTACAGACACCTGTTCTTCTGCTGCAGCGCCACGCGCAGCTCATACTGCTGCTGCCGCATGCGCTGCAGCTGCCGCGTCCCAGGGGCCCTTGACTTCGGCTTGCTGGATGCCATTTGCTGCAGCAGAGCGCTGCTGCTGAAGCTTGTGGGGTTCTTGCTGCTGGGGCTTGTCCGCCCATGAAGCTGCTGCAAAGGCAAGAAGGAGTGCAGAAAGCCAGCTGAAGGGGCCTCAACTGCCGCTGTTGCTGCTGCTGCTGCTGCTGCTGTTGCTGCTGGCTTTGTTTGCCGTGCTGCACTTGATGCTGCTGCTGGTGCTGCTGTCAACTGCCAAGTTGGCTGCAGCGGAGCGTGCACCCCAGACATCCAGGCAGCGGCCCTATTCGGCAGCAGCAGCAAAAGCAGCAGCAGCGGAAGCAGCAGCAGATGCTGAACTGGATTCTCCCGTGCCATTTCAGTGGCTGGGGCCACCCACCCACAACAAGCAGCAGCAGCAGCAGCTACAGCTGCGGCTGCAGAGCCTCCGTGGAGTGCGTGTGCTCTTTTAAGGGCTCATCCTCAGACTGCTGCAGCAGTAGCTGCATCGGCAAAATCGGCGGCGAGTGCTGCTGCTTCTGCTGCTAGCCTGTCGGCTTAGTCCGCTACTGCTTAGCAGCTGCTGCGGTCCCTTCTGCTCGGCAGCAGCTGCAGCAGCAACCCCTGGCAGCAGCTGCAGCAGCAACCCCTGGTTCCGCGCAGCAAGACACGACAGGGGTTGTCTCGGCCTCACGGCCTCCACGGATGTTGCTGCTTCAGCTGCTGCAGTTCTAGTGGCCGTTGGTGTCCCAGTTGCGGTTAGTGCATTGATTTCTGCTGCACAGTTGTTGCTGCCATAGTGCTGCTGCTGGTGGTAAGTGAAACTACCCAACTGGCTGTTCGGCGCTGTTTTCCTGGGCCCGCTCCCTCAGTGTTGACGCTTGGCTAGTGTGTAGTTGTTGAATTTCCTGTAAGGACTGCAGCCGACGGGCAGAGCTGCTGCTGCAGAGGCTGCTGCTGCTGCATGCGGGTTGCCGCCACAGCCTGCATGCAGCACAATCGGTTTTTGCTGGAAGCGAAGCTTCAGAGCAGCAGAATACAGAGCAACAGCAGAACTTTGAGGCTTTAAGGACTTGCGTTGAAATTAATCGATTTTTTCTGTGCGGCTCCCGGCTATTGTTTGGTGTCTGTGCTGCAGCAGCTCAGCCGCCACTGCTCTCCCCTTCAAGTCCTTGAACTGCAAAAGCTGTTCTGCTTTGTCGATCGCTTCCCACTATACAGCAAAAGAATCTCTTTATTTGTTCCTTTTTGCGGCAAAAGGCTGAAAGATCCCGAGATAGGGCCTTCTGCTGCAGCTGCTGTATCCAGTGTTGCTCTCGCTGAGGCGTGGCCTCCCCAGATTGGCTTTCCCTAGGGCCCTAGTCGCCTTCCTTAAGAAAAAATAAAGTACTAAGGGCCATTTTCAGCAACAAAGGCCACTGCAGCAGCGGCAGCAACAACGCCAGAGCAGCAAAAGCGACAGCAGCAGCACCAGCAGTACAACAGCTGCTGCAGCGACTTCAGCAGCAGCGAGAACAGCACGAGGAGCTGCCCGCCGTGCCTTTGTTTAACGTGGCGGCCAGCCTTCCCGGTTAACTCGCCATTTGCCGTGCCGGCAGCCGCTGCTGTTGCTGTGGACTTCTGCTGCTGCTACTGTGCTACTGCTGCAGCAAGCGAAAATGTCGAACATGGACAGGTTTACCATCCATTCCCAGCTGCAGCATTTGCAGAGCAAATATCCCGGCACTGGGAATGCAGACACCACGCGGCTGTACGTACACTTGAAGCTTCTCGCCCCACTCAGGCACGAAGGCTCAGCTTGCGTTGTGCTGCTGCAGCTGCTGCCCATCAGCAGCAGCTGCTGCAGCTGCTGCTGATGGCACCATTTGTTTTGCTGCTGCATCTCCGCAGGGACTGGGGCATAAACATTCAGCGTGACACACTGGCGTCTCACGTGGGCCACTACAGCAGGTGACTGACTAGCTGCTGCTGCGGGTGTAACTGCTGCTGCAGCAGTGTAGCTGCTGTTGCTGCTGCTGCTGCTGCTGCTGCGCCTATAGAAGGCGTTGCGCTTTAGCCAAGCCTTGGGTTGCTCGCAGGCTGGCCTACTTCGCTGTGGCCGAGAACGAAAGCATCCGGCGTATTCGCTACAGGTGCCTGAATGTGAGTCTGGCAACAGCAGCAGCAGCAGCAGCAGGGTGGGCGTAGCAGCAGCAGCAGCTCGTTTGCCGTGGCCGCATAGGGCCTGCTGCTTCAGTGTGCTGTGCTGCAGCAAATGGTATGCCCCACACTGAGGGCGGACAACGCAGAAGAGAGTGCTGCGCCTTCCGGGGAGGCGGCGAAGGACGTAGCAGCAGAAGCAGAAGCAACAAAAGAAGCAGCAGCAGCAGCAGCAGCAGCAGCAGCAAAAGAGACAGAGGAAGAAGAAAAGGCAGAGGTAAAAGAAGAAAAAGACCAAGACGCCGACATGGCCATGGAAGAGGGAGATGACCTGTAGGCCCAGCGCTGGCAGCACATTTGCCACCGCGGGGAGCAGCAGCTGCTGCTCCCGTAGCTGCTGCTGCTGCGTCTGCTGCAGCTCTGCTGCAGCAGCTGCTGCGTCTGCTGCAGCTCTGCTGCAGCTGCTGCTGCGCCGCAAGGGCAGCCAGTGCCAGAGCCAATTGCCTCAGAGACGCAAGGGAATAAACTGTGGGGTGCAGCTTTTGGTGCACTGCAGCAGCAGAGCTATTGGCAGCAAATAGACCAAAAAACTTGCAACCTGTTCCCTAGAGTTAGAGCTCCGAGCTAGCTCGTAGCTAGCTAACTAGCTAGCTAGCTAGCTAGCTAGTTTCGCTCACCAGCCACGTGCAGGGCCTCCCGCCCGCCGGCTAGCTGTGCAAGCTCGGCAGCCAGCTAGCCACCTGGGGTGGGGCCTTCCCCGCAGCTAGCTAGCCAGCAGCAAACTGCCTGCTGCTGCTGCACTTGTGGCCCAAAGGGCCTGCTCCCTGATGCCCACGGGGGTGGCTACAAAATAAACGCCAGCAGCTTGGCTAGCTGGCTGCGGATGGAACTTCGCAGCTAGACGCCTAGCTGCGTAGCTAGCTAGCTAGCTACGCTAGCTAGCTAGCTGGCTAGCTGGGGCGAGCTGGGGCGGGCCGCGCCTAGCTAGCTGAGGACAGAAAAACCGGAGGCAAGCCAAAAAAACCGAGGAAGCAAATGCCCCTTCTTTGGCCTGCTGCTACTACTTCATGCAAAAACAGGCCCCGAGTGTGGGGGCCGGAGGCCCACATCTTCTCTTTGGAGGACTAGCTGCTGCTGCGCCAGCTGGTGCTGCAGCAGCTCGCTGGCAGTGTGCAGCTGCGGGTGCGCCAGCTCCAGGCGCTGCAGCTGCTGCAGTTGCTGCGGCTGGCGCTGCAGCATCAGCTGCTGCGGCTCGGGCTGCAGCACCAGCCGCTGCTGCTGCGCCTCCTGCTGGCTCTCCGCCTCTTGCTCTTGCTGCTGCTTCTGCCCCTGGAAGCCCTCAAAGTTCCTTCGCTTCATCACCCGCACTGCGCGGTGTATGTACTGCAGCAAGCAGCAGCAGCAGCAGCAGTTGCGGCAGCAGCAGTTGCGGCAGCAGCAGTTATGGCAGCAGCGGCTGCTGCGAAAGCGTAAAGAAAGCCACTGACACGCAGCATAGCGGGGAAGACTGCAGTGCAAATCGTGGCAGCAGCAGCAGCACCAACAGCAGCAACAACTGCAGCAGCAGCAGCAGCAAACAGCGAACAGCAGCAGCAACATACCCTGGTTGCATAGAAATCATCACTTTCCGTCATGTTCCCCGCAGTCTTGCTGCGTCTGGGTAAATAGTATGCTGCTGCTGCTGCTGCATCTTCGGATCCCTCTGCAGTCAAATGGCCTTGGGGCAGCGAGTCATCGAATAGGCTGCTCCCCAACGCTGCTGCTGCTGCTGCCTCCACTCCAGTGCTGCTGCTGCTGCCAGCTAGTCTTATTGCGTCAGCAGGCGAGCCGCCATCTGCGTGAAAAGGCAGGCCCATGTAGCTGCTGCTGCTGCTGCTGCTGCTGTAGCTGCTGCTGTCGATTATGCTGTCGTCAAAGAAAGCATCCGGCTGCTGCATCAGGTGGCCAATCTTAATTAGCTCGTCCCTCCACGCCTTAGGGTCCCGCGGCACAGCCAAGCTGCTGCTGCTGCTGCTGCTGCTGCTGCCTTCGCCGCTACTGGGGTCCTGGCCTGCTGCGTTGCTGCAGCTGGCATGCGGGCCTGTAAGCGCTGCAGCAGCCACCGCAGACCCTGCAGCCATGCCGCTCAGCAGCTTCCCCTTTTCCCGCTGCTGCAGGTGCTGGCTATCTCTGCTGCTGCTCCTGCTGCTGCTGCTGTTGACCTCTGAGTCTGACTGGGGGCCCCCTTCTAGAGGCAGCCGCATGTGCTTCTGCAGCTGCTTTCGCCTCGACTCGCTCAGCATCCTTTGCTTCCGCATGCGCTGCCGCTGTGCCAGCTGCTGCTGCTGCTGCTGCTGCCGCATGTGACCATCAGCAACCACGTTGCTGCTGCTCCTTCTGTTGCCGTTGCTGTTGCTGCTGCTGCTGCGAGGATTTGTGAGCCAGAAAGCAGCAGTCATCCCAAAAGCAAGTCCGAACCCCCGAGCAGCGCCCGTGAAGGGTGTGTGGTATGCGCGTCGCTGCTGCTGCTGCTGCTGCTGCTCCTTCCAATGCTCCTCTTCCCAGTATTTATAAGCATTGGCCTGCTGCTGCCTCCACTGGTGTTGCTGCTCCTCCCAATGCTGCCACCTCTGCTGCTGCTGTTGCCGTTGATGATACCACCATTGCTCTCTGTTGGCGGCGCCCTGGTGACGCTGGTAATGCTGGTGCTGCTGCTGCTGCTGCTTCCATCGGCCATGAGTGGACTGCGTGGCAGTCGCTGCAGCTTCTCCCTCCAGGAGTGCCTTTAGGCGCTCATAGTTGCACTGTAGCTGCGCAAAGTCTGCTGCTGCTGACGCTGCAGCAGCAGCAGGCCGCTGATCCGGATGCCTTTGCTTCGCTAGCAGCAAATAGCGCATGCGGACTGCGCGGCTGCAGCGGCAAGTGGGCGGCAAGTCGAAAAATAGCAGCAGCTGCTGCAAGAGCTGCTGCTGCTGATGCTGGTGTCCCCCTGCCATGGCGGCCTTAGCGTCGAGTCCCTCTGACTCATTGGCTTCTGACGATTCTTTTGCTGCTGCTGTTGCCGCTGACACGCGCAATTGCTGTCTATAGGCTGTGCTTCTGCTGCTTGTAACTGCAACTGCCGTTGTCGTCGCTGCAGCTCCCTAGGCGTGCAAGGCCAACGAACTCACCTAAAGAACGTAGCTGGAAGCGCGTGTCTTCGTGCATGTGCTGAATGCACACGCGAAACAGACAGTACCGAACGCAAGCTGTGCGTCGCCTCTAGGACACGGCTCGAAACGCATGCACGTGCTGCTGCTGCTAAGAGAGTGCAGCAGAGCTACGCGCCGCAAACTTGTACTGAAAAATGTGATGTGCACATTCACCTAATTGGGTCAGTGATTTGATAAGGAAGTGAGTTTTAAGAAGTATGAAGCGGCAATGCAGGTTGGTGGACAAACACGCTGCACGGCAGCAGCAGCAGCACAGCACGCGGCAGCTGCAGCAGCAGCAGCCTGCCGCTGCTGCATGTGCAGCAGCCGCTGCAGTGGGGACATGGCAGCATGACCTCTGCAGCGCCCCACTACGAGGCGAGAGAAAATGTTTCGTCTTTAAATAGGAAAACACGGAGGGGATATCTGCTTTCGAGTAAGTTGCTGAACTTTTGCTGTTTCACCGTGCGCTGCTGAGGCATATGCGGGCTGCAGCAGTCCTTCTGCGGGGTCATGGGGACAAGGGATATGTTGCTCGAGATGCATTTACGGTGTTTCTCATACTTTACTGCGCTTCTTGCTGCTTAATTAATTTAACGTAGAGCACTTTCTGGGGTTTTCGTGCGGGGGTCCGAGCTGCAGCAGCTGCAGCAGATGGATCACTGTGGGCTGAGGACCGGGCTGCGGCTTCACGAGCAACAGTAGCTGTATTGAGGCTCTTTGTTTTCAGTTCGGCTTCGTTTGTTTTGTCATTCTTCCCCATAAATGCAGCGGGTATTTGGGTGCTGTCTCTGGGTTTTTGGCTGCCCGCGTTCCCAAGGCTGAAACTAGTGCTTGTTGACCAATTGGCCCACGCTCCTCACGCACGCGCCACCGTGAATGTGTGTGCTAGCACGTGTATCTGTTGCCGCTTCAAAAGCTTAATGCTGTCAGCCAAGAAGGCGGCGTAACGCAGTGCCGCGCTGCATGTGCAGATCGGGCTTTCTCCGAAGTGTAGAGGCGCTGCGCCGTGTGTGTTCTTGTTGGGTGTGGGGCAGGTTCTGTGTGGTACTTTAGTGCATCGCCGCTGCGCCCGGTTGAGTGTAAATCGTCTCCGGTGTTGGCCTAGCCTGAAGTTGTCTGCCGCAGCTCATGCGGGGCTCTTCGCTGTCTTTGGCGTGTGTGGCTGCAGATTGAAAAGTCCAAAAAATGACAACTCGACAGCGGATCGTTAAGGTTGACGGCAGCCAGCCGACGGAGGTGGAGAAGGAAGTGGACCGGTGCCTCGCAGACATTGAGGTGTGCCAGCGGCGCCTCCCTTTGAACTTCGTTTCCCTTGCAACTTAATCGTCGAAGTTGAACATGTTGTTCCTGTGGCGATCCAGATCTTCTGTTCCACCAAAGTTTTCCATTTAATAATTGAATTGCTCCTTTATTCTCTTCAGTGTTTTTCTAACTCTCCTGATTTTATGTCTGCAGTCGAGCGCCCAGTCTGAACTGCGGGCCGAAGTGGCAGAGCTGACCATCTGCGCAGTCAAGCCCGTCGAAGTGCCCGCCTCGGGGAAGACGGCGCTGGTGATTTTTGTGCCCTACAGGGTTTACATGAACGTGGTGAAGCGGATCCACGCCAGGCTTGTGCAGGAGCTCGAGAAGAAGCTCAAGAGGCACGTTGTGATTATTGCGCAGGTGCGTTTTCTTCGGGGGAGCAGGAGCTGCTGCACCGGCTGCTGCGCCAGCTGCTGCACTGCCGGTGCCAGCTGCAGCAGCAGGGCCAGCAGCTGCTGCTTCCGCGTGTGTGCGGGTGTTCGCAGAGGAGCATCGTGGGTCTCGACTATAAACGCAAGAACCTCAAGGTCCGCCCGCGATCCAGGACCCTCACCAACGTGCAAGATGCGATGCTGGAGGACATTGTGGCACCCTCTGAGGTTGTCGGCCGCAGGTGAGTTGGGCTTTTCTCCCCTGCAGCATTTGCTGCGCCTGTTTTTGCTTCAGCGTTTCCCAAGTTGGGGTTTTTGTTGAAAAAGGACTTCTTTTTCGAGTTCTTGCAGGTGGCGCGTGCGCGCTGATGGGTCTAAGCTGATGAAGGTGCACCTTGACCCCAAGGACAAGGCAAAAGACAACTTGGAGGAGAAACTGTGGACTTTCGCTGCTGTATATAAACGCCTCACCAACAAGGACGCTGCATTCCTCTTCCCAGAACACGTATATTGAACATGAAGTATCCACTTTCCTGCGCCTCCCGTGGCTTGTTTCTTGTGTCTGTCAACCCAGCTACGGAGGCGGCCAGCTACGGAGCCCCGTGCCGAGCGGGCTGCCGCGGCATTTGCTGAGCTGCAACTCACAAGGAAACCGCCATGCGGTTAATAACTCCTCTGCCTCCTTAATTCCTCTCGGGACCGAACGGCGCGGAGGCCGCTGATACAAAATAGTTGTTCGCTGTTACTGTGGTTTGCCAGCGTTTGTTCTAGCCATACCGAAATGAACGTAGGTAGAAGCATGGATCCAGTTCGTTTCATCACCATCCACTGCGGCATCCTTGTACTGCCACTCGTCATCTAGCGATACGTTTAGATAACGCCAGGGACACTCTGTGTTAACGCTACGTATCCTTTGTCTGGCTCGTCCCCCAGCATGACTGATCGAGCCTCGGCTGAGCAGTGGCATGGTAGCAGCTCGCTTCGCTGCTGGAAGCCCTGTATGTGGCATAAATAGTGACGGTTTATGAGAAGGAAGGTATGGGGTGAAGTGTGCAAACGAGGAAAGTTGCGACAGGGCAGGAGTGCAGCCAACCTAATCATCGATTCCCTCAACAGAGCACTGTCACAGGCTCTGTGGGACAAGCATCTTAGTCACAGTTCCGGAGTTTCTGTGAAACTTGTACCGCAGCGTCATGATGCTTAAGTTGTGCTAGTTTTCTGATAAAGGAATTTTTCGCTTTTTCGGCGCAAATGCGGGGGAATTGGTCAGCCGATGTAGCTCAGTCGGTAGAGCGCGAGGCTCTTAACCTCGTGGTCGCGGGTTCGAGCCCCGTCGTCGGCTTCACCTTCTTTTCTCTCCTCGTGTTTCCGAGCGCTTTTTTACTAAATGCAACAGAAAATCAATAACAACTTGCATATGTTATATTTGACCCGTTATTTCTCTCTCACTTCGTTCAAGTGCAGCAAAGACTGGGCTTCCAGTTGCAAATCAGTTACCTGATTTCACATAATTGAATCTCGATCCTTCCAATCCCACTTCACACACCTCACTCTCCTTACGTTCTGCATTTTCGCAATACATTTCCCTAGAAAAGGTAGTGATTGATATTTTCTTGTTCTTTCATGTTGCTCTAGGCCTTGAGTTTGCCACCAGGCCAGTGTCGAGGGGCCCTACAGAATGACCTGTCGTTGCTTCAGGAAATCCACTCGTGGAACTTTGGTTGAATGAATGAAAAAAGTTCAGACAAACAAAGTTCCGTGGCATTCATACCTGGTGACGAAAAGTCTGCGGTATAAAGGCTATCGATATCCACTCTTCAGCTCTCCGCCCAAAGCCTCAGGGGAGTCCATTTCGTCCAGTTCCCTCGAAGCCCACAGACACAAGCCCAGCAGAGTAAAGCGTCAGGTGCAGCAGAAGAGCGAATCACGGAGTTTCCTGCGTCAACTCATTGGCCTTGGGGAGATATGGAGGACCGGTCCGGTAGGCTGACTGCGTGTTTTCCAAGGCTGACTGCGGGTTTTCCACTTCAAAAGATCCTTAGTCCACGTAGAACGCATTTGTGAAGGCAGACCAATACAGCTAAAGCAGGACAGTGCCCTACAGCACCGGTGTTCTGGCGCATAGGACGTATCCCGTAGAAGGGAGCAAGTGACTTGAAGCTCAGACTTAAGCAGCAGCGCGTCCTGGGCTCAACGCAAAGTCTGGCCTTCACACAGAGCCGCCGGGCCAAGGCGTTGTTGAGGACACTTCCTGTTTGTGTAGGCTTTTCAATTTGTGTTTCCGCAGAGATCGTATCGCGAAATCCCTTACCACGACCACCCATTCGCCCAAACGAAGTCTTCGTTACCAGGAGAGTACCGACTGTTGTATACCTCAAGCGCTGTGTAAAGCTTTTAAGAGGGCCTTATGCAAAGGTTATTATTCGAGGGGCAGGCAGCTGCATAGAGACGGCCATCTACGTAGCACAGGACGTTGTAGCTGCTTTTGGGGGCATGGTAACCTACAGCTGCACAAGGCAGCTTGTGCCAACTGCAGCAGCAACATCGGGAGCGGTAGAAGCGGTGGCGAGTGAAGCATCAGCAAAGGTTTTGAAAGGGGATGCATTTGAGCAAGAGGCAAACGCCAAGTTCGCTGCTGCTGCTACCAGCCTAGCAGCACTTGAGAAAAGCAGCTCCGCTGCTCTTGTGTCGGTGAGTGCTGAGGCATCCAGTGCGGAGGCCTATGACGAGGTCATATCTCTCGAAAAAGGAAACAGCAGCTCGAAGGAAGCGGCGCTCGAGGCAGCAGGAATACAACAGGAGCTCAGCGTGAGCGCAAAGTAGAGACTCTGTTTCGATGGGTGCAATTATTGCAAGTGCCTCTTTTGCTTCGATTTCTGCCGGCTCTTTCAATACTTTCACCGGTATTTTTGCTGCTATCCGTGTGTCAACTCCCGCCGTTAGTCTTGTTGCTGCCTTTAGTTGTGCATTGCTGGTACTATCTGTACGCGTGATCCCAACAGGCTGAACAGTAATGGCGGCGGCTCGTCACTCTGTGCATTGTGTAACTTTGTCTCTGTCTTCAGTCCTTCGTCAGACAGCGTTTCATCAGCGCTATCATGATAGAGCTTCAGCGATTATCCCCGCCGCCTCAGTAACACGGTGAAGAGCCCCCCACGACCCACCAGATGGCTTACGTATGGTAGAAAAGGCGTTTTGTTCGGCTACAGCAGCGGCAGAGCAGCTGTGTACAGCAGCGCTAGAGCAGCTGTGGGACTCGTAAATGAGAAAGGGAGCAACACTAACGTTGCAGAAGCCGTGAATCGGTTTTGCTTTTTAAGGCATGCACTTTCATTAGGCGTGGCAAGAGAAGGCCCCAGACACAACGGCTAGGCCAGGCTGTCCGTAAAATGCCTAGATGTGGCTGTTTTGTGCTCCTTTGGAGCCTGCAACGAGTTAACGAGCAGTGCCCCACCCGCATCTTGATAGAGAGGCGAAAAGCACAAAATGAGGCAGGCTAAGCAGGCTCTGAGACCCAAGCGTACTCACAGTACCCAAAAGCTCCGACTATCCAGCTGTTTTTATTATCATTGTCACAGAAACGAGGGTTGCTTGGGTAGTGTCGCGTAAGGTGCAACAATGCCATTCTCAGCAGCTCTTCACAAGCTGAACTGAAGCGTGGCATGCCGGCGACGTATCTTTTGTGAGCCGCTATGTGCTTGTCCTATTGAAACTTGATGCCCGGCAGTCTGCCTCAAGCGCGAGCAAGGCATCACGCTGCTCTGAAGTGGCGCAGTTGTGCCTTCCCGTCTTGCCCTTCATTTCTTTAAAGTTGAAAGTTTGTCGGGTGTTTCGTGGTTCTCGTTCGTTGAACAGGATTTGTCTTCTTATTACACCGTGCTGGTGCCCCAGGAACTGGTCCTCGCTACTGCTGTTTTCCCCCCTGCAAGCGATACTTTTTCGTAGACTTTCTCAAAGTGAGGGTACCTAGTTTTGTATGTTTCGTAGACTTTCTCAAAGTGAGGATACCTAGCTTTATATTGTTTCGTTTTCTGCTTATTCTCAACTGAGATCCCTGGAGCACTTGTCCTGCGACTTACGCAGTTTGCTTCGCGTTGGAGCTGCGTTAGTTGCAAATGCTGCCCCACGCACTAACCCTGGTGGCTTATATACCCGTTCCCCCAGGCTTTACATCAATACTGTCAAGTTGCTCAAAAACTGTTTTTCAATTCGTCCAGAGCAGGTTGCTGAGAGTTGTAATTATGAGACAACAAAAAGGATCTAACCGCGTTGTCACCCGTTCTGGGTTATTGCTTTCGATGGTTGCGGCTTCATCAGAGCTGTGCACGATTGAGCCCAGTACTGGTTTTGGCCCCACAGCGTGTTGACCCAACGGTGCCTGTGAAGTCAGTTTGCTCGGTGAAAATTGCCTTACTTCTATTTCCATTGATGAATATGGCTACAGGCGTCATGCGTGTTGGCTGACTTTTTGCAGCCCGCTGCAAACTACTTGGTCGTGTCTATCCTTCGGCGACTCCTCCGTCATGCAGAGGACCACACAAGGACGAATAAGCTCCAAGTGGCTTGAATGCTCTTCCGTTGCACGTTTCCGTGCACAAGGCTTGCGGCATCGCACTTACTAGATATCAGTGGATTGAGGAACTTTTATGCTGTTGCTTGTGTCCTCTTGGGCCCATCTTGAAGAGAATTTCGCGAGAAGAGTGCCCGATCACGCTGTTGACTTCACCTGATTTGGCGCTCCCTGATTATTAGTAGCATTGAGCGTGGACAGCAGCTTCCAAAATAAGGGTATTGCATAATCGCTTGCCCTGGAGAAGACCACATGGGCTTGAAAGCTTGAAGGATAGGCGGCGGGTCATTCGCTCTGTACCTAATCGTTGATCAGTGGTAGGTGAGGCTGTCACAGCATCGAAGTGATCTTGTCCACCCATTTCGTTCCTGACCGTGGTTTAAAGCAGGCATACGCTAAGTAGCACAGGCCGAAACCATCAAGCAACAGAGACAGCTCAAAAGAAGACTTGTATGGCAGGAGGAAAAGAAACTTGTCCAAACAAATCTTTGGGTGGCTCGAGCGGCGGCTTAAGCATCGACTTCTGAAGCGAAGGATCAACGAACAATAAAAGCACGACCTCGCCTGCCTACAAGTTGGCAAGCACCGGGCACGACAGTTCACATACCAAAGAAGGCATCGGTAATTCGGGTGGCAGCATGATTCTGGACGCCAAAAAGCAGCCGTGCGCCTGTAAACGGGGGCTGCAATAGCCACATAATACAACGCATAGGCTCGCACAGCCATCACTCCGGCTCTTGTAGGTAGAGGCAGCCTTTTGATTCAAGCTAGGGCATGGGATGTTGACTTGATGCTGCGTAGTGTGGGCAGCTACACGTGCTTATGCCGAGATACGACCATGAGTACACCATATGAACAAATGCGAACTCCGTCGTATCCGCTGAAGAGTGGCCTACGGGCGAAGAGAACGCCAGAAAAGAAGCAAATGTGAATTGGTGTGGTTGCGTTTCTCCTGCACTAAAGAACCAGAATCTGGTGAAGGCACAGTGAGCGACCCAAAAGTGCAGATACAAAGGCACATGCACAGGTGTTATTTGCAACAAAGGACAGTGCATGTCAATCCTGGCTCGTAGGCTCGGGCTTCACTTGACGTGTTCAACTTACAACGGGACCTCTGTAACGAGAAACACTGCCCCGTGTATGGCCTCAAACTGCAGATTTAGCTAAAATGCACGGTGAAGCTACTTTTAAGCGTAACCAGATGAAAACAAAGTCACAATGCACGCCAAGGAGAAAAAGTGCAATTGTGTCGGTGGCTAGAGCAGCTGCGGCTGATACCACGTTTAGGCGAAACGAGTAAATTCAAGGACGCTGGAGCGCTTCTAGAATGCGGTACACAGCCTGCTTACGCCAGATTCCCAGTCCCCCTGTAGTTTTTGAATACGAAAGGTCCTGCATGTTTCAACGGATACGAATGAACAACCGTGCAGAGATGCACCTTCCAAGAACCTGATGTGCACTTGACGAGCTTAGAGGAAAGCCTTGCTCAAAAAGCAGTGTTTTCCTTCCTGTCCAAGAACTCAAACAACTGACCTAAAATACGTGCTTTCATCAAGAACAAGCGATGGAACTTCTGTTGGCTCAGACATAGAATGCATGCTATATATGTGTCAGAAAGATCTCCTTATGTTTTCGTTCTAAATACTACTAGCTTGGTCTTCCCAAAGTTTTATCACGTTTGGAATATTCTACTAGTGAAGATTTTGTCTATTTTCCTCAACTGCAGCTCTAAGCTGATGCACCGGTAGCACTGTGCAGCAAGACCTCATCTCTGTTATGTCACCAGTAACGGGACTAGAGGAAGTGGAAACTTTCCACAAAGGAAGAATAGGTTTCCGAGTTTATTATATGCCATCTAAAAGATGGTGGAAATCTGTTGAGCACCAGCTTGGCCCTCAGCAGACAATTCCAGTAACTGGCAACGGCGCGATGGTCCAGTGGTTTGTGCGTACACATGGCTCACCCCAAAGGCCGTGCAAGCTGCCTGCCTGGTATGGAGAAGCCCTAGAGCGCGCATCTCTGCGCTTTACATTAAGCATATTAATCTGCTCCAACCAGCTGGCTTGAACAAGGGGAGCGTAGGTTCTTGCACAGTCTCTGCCCTTCTAGGTTTACGACCACGTAGCTTCTGAGATGCACGGGCTGCATGCACAAAGAAAACTAAAACTTCGTCAATTTGTATGTTCGATGTTTCCAGCCACCAAATATGCTGCTTTCTTGTGGCTGGAGTGAATCCTACGAAATGTACGCAGCTGAACAGTTGTTAGTGCATCCCTCCTGGAGCTTCGCGGTGGCCTCCGCGTGCGTTCCTTTCAGCTGCTAAGGTGCACTGTCCGCTGTATAAAGGTTCTTTCTCGACAACATACGAAGGAAGCATAATACAGGTGGCTTTGTAAGGAACCTTGCGCAGGCCCTGCCTGAACTAGTAATGGTGAATTTGGGTAGTTGCGTTTCCAGACAGGGAAGCCCGCGTACGCTAACCGCAGCGCCTGCATTTGGTTGCCTAGCAAATCATCAGCCTGGTCCAGTGTAGCAAATGGGTCGCTACATAGAGTGGAGTTCCCGGAGCATTTCCAGTGATAGAGCTAGGTGGCGTCCTTTTTCATGGAAGAAAACTCTCCCGATTTGTTACATATTCATAGTCATTGCAGCGACACAAAGAATTCTCTCGAGTAATTACTTTCCTGCCGCAGTGGCTGTAGAGTTTACATCTTCCTATCCAGAAGGAGCTCCACCCAAAGCGTCAAAAGCTCTGGCCCAAACGTTAGCCCTGCTCAACCCTTCCTCTTCTACTGCCCGCGCCTTAAGAGCCGTTGAAATACAGACGGAAGAGAAAGACAAAGAGCCGCTACCCGTGTGCTCTCAATCAAAGTATTTATGTCAAGTTCACACGTTGCACAGTGCTTTGCCACACCGCGTATTTACACATCACACCCAACAGCACCATAATGATGGGAAAACTGGGCACAACTCAGCCCTTGGCGTCCACGCCTCCTTCAGATACAGACGGCTAGCAAGTCTCCCCTTACGCAGTCCTAAGCGCTTGCCAACTAACGCAGCCAAGTATGAAAAAAACGGCAAGTGGCCTAGCAGAGTAAAGTTGGTAACACCGATTCCATTCGAAGATATCCATAGAGTGACTCCTAGTTTTGCCCAAGTGTCTCAAATCAGCAAAAAAAGCGGCATTTTTCTTCCACTTCGAGTCCATGCTTGGTTTGCGGACTTTCTGAGCCCGCTAGGGGAGAATATCCAAAGCAATCTGAACAAACAATTGAACCGTGGAGGTGAAATGCCGGCAGCTGTGGAACAGCCCGCTGTTGCGCGAGATAACTCTATCAAAAACCTACTCGGTCAAATCGCGGCAGATCTCACTGAAGACGCATATAAAGCCACAGAAGTCCAGCATGCCCTGCGTTTTAACGACATCCGTCGCTTCTTCGAAGTGGAAGTTGTGCCTGCCGCGCTCTGGTGGCTACACCGAACTGTGAGGGTTGATCGGCTAGTAGGACCGCTGACTGTCAAAATTGACAAAAAGAGCGACACGTAAGGGCTTAAGCTATCCAGCCAAATGCATGCGAGCTTGCTTCCCCTACTGAACGGTGAATCTGAACGGTAAATCTGCTCTCACCACCGCCTACGCCATGGCACTGTCAGTATATGAGCTCCACAGGGTTGTTTTGTAGCTCTACTACTTTTGCAGGCTCTACTGTGCAGGCAATTCGGGGTGGGCCAGTGCGGAAAGTGTCGTCTACCCAACCTTCGGCGTTTGCGGACTGAAACGGAACATCATTCGCTTGGAATAGTCGAAGATGCTGATATCCTGTTGTCGTTTCGCACATCCAAAAGCCCAAACGAGGATGGAAGCTGTAGGGTTGCTGCGATAAATTAACATGCCTGCTGCTCGCTGCTTACGCAGTAGTGCCTTCCTTCGGGCAAGAAGTTCTCGGAGCTTCTTTGAGTAATTAAAAAATATTGATACGTGTAGACTGGCCTGCCTCTATTTTGAAGACGGCTGCATTTTATTTCTGCAGATGTTTGTCAAGTTGATGACGGCTACCGCCCGGTTGCAGCCTGCATCTCGATTCCTGTCGCTGAGGCAGAAAGGCTGTACTCTAGCAGAAAGACATCATTCTCTCACACTATCGATCGAATACTCATGTACATTATCAACGCGGTTGGCGTCAATGTGCAGACGCTGCCTTTTTTCCTAACGTGGAACCACGCTTGGAGGAAGGAAGCGCTAAGGTAAATGAAACCAGTGTTGCTCGAGCACCCTTGAAGAACGCTGGAACTTTGCCTGAGTCTGCATGGGACAGCAGACCAGCAAGGCGCACTCTAATTTTGAAGAGCAAAATGCTGTCTCCTGCGGTGAAACATCGAACAGGCGGCTTCACGATGCCAATCGCGTAGGCTTGCCTCCTGCAGTTCATGCCGTCACAGAAGTGTTGAACTTAGACATAAAGCCCTCCAACAGCCAGAAAGGCTTTCACAGGTTTAAAGCAACGGCAACTTCCTCAGGGGAGTCAGCAGAAACGCGCACGCGGCGCCGTTTTTTTCTCACAACTCCTGAGATCAAGGCTGCAATACGGCGCTATTTGGATTGCACTGATGTGATTGGCTTGGAGCTCGCCTTGTATCAATCAGGCCCACGCTGTAAGCGCGTTGTTAGCCTGTCAGCAAGAGTCAAATACTGCATAGCCTGCATAGCCAAGCAATCGGATCCTGCTGCAGTGCACTTCTCTGCTATGTGTCACCCAATTAGGCAGCTGTTTTTCTTCTGGGAATCGTTCAGTCTCACAGTTTAGTCTCCACTGTCTTCCATTGGAGTCAGTTTCCTCGATACCAAGTGCATTTCCTTTGAAAATTTGTCAGCAATTACGTAATAAACTAGTAACCTACTTCCCTGTGTATCTGTGCGCCTACTCCAGTTTTTGAGCCTTCCTTTCTAGGACCTCATGTAGAAGGTTCCGGAACAGCGTATGCCGCCAAAGGTTAGTACGAAACAAAGCATTTCGAGGCCCCCCTAGGAGGCAAAGGCAATTTCCTCATGCTCATTTCCAGTTGAAGGTCCTTTTCATGGGAGGTACCTAGCTCCATGTTGATTTTCAGAAGAGCTCCCTATGGAGCTGCTGCTCGCTGCAATGGAGGACACAGGCTGGTACATAACAGAACACACCTGGGCAAGAGAATTTCTCTGGTGAGAACCTGGAGTATAAAGGTTTTAAGGATCAGGCTAATCATAGGGTACCAACTTTCAAGCCCTCTGCAAACCTTAGGATGATCGACTTCTATCTTTTTTCGAAGTGAATCCTTGCGTTTCGCACTGCACGAGGCTCTGTGAATATGGAATATGGCGTGCAACTGTTCTCTCAGGAGAAGATCAGATGATCAAGATGCCCAAAGGTGCAAGCCTTTTGAGCAGGCGACGCCTGTCGCAGCCAGGACTTGGGATAATAAAATCGCAGTGGAAAATTCGTTTGCTGACGTCAAAGCAAGCAACCCGAATGAGCCAGTGACCGATGATGGACAAGGAAGCCACAACGAAATGTTCCTAAGCGGTTTTGACTATGAGCGGTGAGTCATTTATTCCTTATGCCAACGTCTGATAGTGCGCCCCTTGTGTAGCGCGTCATCGCTCGTCGTGCGCAGTTTGAGTCGCACGCTCATAGGCAGCTGCGCTCTTACACGTCACTTGTATCGTTGGAGCAGATGTGTAAAAAGCATGATGGAACTAACTCCGGCATCAAGGAACAGAAGGAATTGTCACAGAATCACATGTGTATCGGACGATGACCGGATCGAAGCACCCATGATGCTGCCAGTAGCAAAGGCTGTCAAGTGGGTTGCTGCGCAAGTAACAAGCAAGCTGCAAAATGGCACTGAGAAAACGACAGTTTGCATGCGAGGCGAAAAGGGACAGCAGAAGCAAGTTCCAGGCACGGAAAGAGGAGTCATTGAATGCCCCGATGTAGATGTCGTGTGCCACGGAAGACCTTGCAGAAATGGAGGCATTCCCAAATATGGAGTGTGAGGGTCCCAAAATCATATTCATTTGCATTCTATGTATTTCTACATTGTTTGGCCAGCGCGCAATTGTACTCCCAACATATCATCACTCGTTTTGCGTGGTCCTTTGCGAAAGCTGTGTCTGCAAGGCTGGCACTTTCGGACGAAACTGCGAATATTGGGACACGGAGCGGAACCGGATGCGGTATCCCAATCGATTCTCTTACGGCATCAATTCCAGTATAACTGTTCTCAAGGGTCAATTTTTCGCTATCCCAGCATTAATAGAAGGACCCCATCATCTCTACTTTAAACCAATTTCGTATGCTGCCAATATATATTGAGAAAGGCACCTGTACAGATCATCTTCAGCATCTGTCCAGTAGTTAGGAAATGCATGCACTCTACTGGCTTTTCTCGTTGCACCGACGCAATGCGGTGTGCTACGTTTCTCAGGAAATTTCCTGCCGGCATAGCAATCGACTCGCGCACCGGTGCAATATTTGGAACTCCAGTTGAAAAAACCAGAGGTCTGCAAAAGACCTGCCTACTTTCAAAAAATGGGAGTTGGAAGATAACCTTGGCTGGCCAGTGCACACTCCAAAATTTCCAGTCACAGACATCATTTTACGTTCCGCGCTATATGTGATGCGTTGCTCCTGTATTAGGCTGCGTACCATTAGCCATAGAGGTACAGATGCAAGAGCCGCCACATGCAGCAGAAAGGACTTTTATACGAATAAACGTCGTTGACCAGCTGCTGACACGATCACAACAGCCAGAGCTCAAGAAGAGAAACGACCTTCCACCCGTTGAAGGCCGCCGCGCAGTACCCGCAAGAGCAGCCCAGGAAGCAGCGACGCACCAGAACTACCAAGACATGGCAACCGAAGCAGACTGGGATGGCTTGACCATACGGACCCCGGGAGATTGTGAACATTATGTGAAAGGGGACTTGCGATAGCACGTTGCAATCCGCAGCGCTGACTAATTGCGGGGAAATAGCCTCTTAATCATACAAGCGCTCTTCCTCGCGCTTAGTATTTCTGTGGTTCTTAAAAAAAGCTGCGCTAACTGCGGAAGTTAATGATGCACTAGAAGGCTAGCGCCACACGTCTACCGCTTAAACAGATAAGTCTTATTTCAGCAGAAACGACCTGCGTCAGCCTTTATACGCCCGGTAATTAAGCTGAACAGCCCTGCGTTTAAAAATCTGAAAAGTCCTTTCCATTTCATGCACAATAACGCATTCGACGCGGCACTTCAAGAAGTTGCTTTGAAGCTTGTTTCCACGACAAATGGAGAGCGGAACTTGACAATTGAAAAAAGTTGTGCTGTGTCAGCCATAAAGCATTGCTAAAACCTGTGTACACGCATTCCACTTTGCTAATGCTGTCTAGCATGCAGCTCGGGATGGAAAACGCTGTCAGGGAAACGCTAGTGAGTAGCGTTGCGACTAAACAAAAGACGGCTTATCCAATATCAATGTGCTTGTAGTAATTGAGTGTATTGGCGTAGGGGACATGCTTGATGCTTTTGTAGAAGTCGTCTAATCCGAAAACATCACAAAGCTTTGCAGTTGAATTCGCCGCGACCAAGTCCAGCTTGAGCTTCTTATCACTATCCTATCAGGCGGAAAAATTGGAAATTGCCCCAGCGCAGTCATGATTGAAGAGGTGTGAATGCCACTATACACGACTGCTAAGCTAAGAAAATATCCGGAATGGACACCAGAAAATGGAACCAAAAGAGCACGCAAGCATGGTCCCAGTATTCACCGCATTCTAATGAAAAACTAACGAGTGCAACATGTCTTCAGTAGCGAACATGAGGTTCCTGCTATCATGCAAAAGCCCCAAGCGTCGGTGCTACAAGAACATACCCGGGCAGTCATTTCTTGAAGCGTGAACTTAATCGACTGATACGGCGACCCGCAGAGTACTGCCTGTATGGAAAAGAAATGCAACTCAAATAGCGTCAATTTAAAGCTTCTGGGGGTAACGATGAGGCAATCCGTAGTCATCGTCAAGCCGTACGTCTAAAACAAATTTAGATGTACCAAGTCCGCCACCAAAGCTTGGAGGTACATTTAGCAAGCGATGTTTCTGGCTGCAACATACACGCTTTATGTAATCCTGGAGAACAGCAGTACGCTCAAAAGAGCACGCAGCTGTGCCCTCCGTAGTCACCACCTTCTGAGCAAATAGTGATGGATTCCACATAGCTCCTCTAGCGAACATCAAATTTCCAATGTGGTACGAATCCTGCACCATGGCACCAGAATAACAACCGGCACCAGCAATATGTTTTTTACACAAGTAGCTTACAGCACTTCATGCTGTCTTCAAAGCTTACTAAAGATAACGTTTTGGCGTTGTTAGCTCCTTATGCTCCATTTAACCGGAAATTGGCAAGACATAAGCTGCATCTTGCTCAAACATACTTGAAAGCGAGTCGCATCTTCAGCTGAAAGAAAGTCACCGTTGGCGATTAGTGGGATTTTAAGAGCACTTTGCAGCAACTGTGAAAGCAGATGCCACACAGAGTACGGAAGCCGCAAAAAGGGAAAGAGACTTGGACTTCTATTCATAAAGATACAAAGACCAGGAAACAAATAAGAGCTATCATTCTAGTGAGACTATGCAACTGTCAGCAGCGAAGATGGCTGCAAGCAGCAAGAATCTTTACAGCAGGAATTGCGGCCTCATGCCTTCACCAAATGCAAATCGTCAACGCATGCTTGTGCTTTACAAAATAAAGGGGTGTGGACTTCGATATCAGCATGTGGTATCTACGTCACTCACTGGAAAAGCTTGCCAGTTTGCCCTGTGTGCAGGTCGTTCGTGGCGCTTCTGTAAAGACAAATACTGCGTTGAAGCTAGCTTCTTCATGAGACTTGCATTCAGCTGGTGAAAGTGTAAGGCGAACGTTCGCGTTAAGGCATACTCCTATAAACGTACCCTCGCATGAACCGCAATGGCTGCTATTCCTGTGCTTTCGCACTTCCGCGCGAAATCCACAGTCTGAAGGAGCATCGCAGACGCATACGTGGATAAAAGCGCACGTTGCTTTAGAGGCCAGCTACTCAGGGGGCACACCTAGCTCAGTGGATCAAGCTCTAACCTCTTCCATTGTTTCAAGAAGACGAATTTTGCACGTGACTGGACAGTGAACATTTCGAACGAGGGTCTTCAGGATATCCATCGACAGCTCTGGCGTCTGAAGCAAGGCCGCTCCCATGCCGCCTTTTACCCTACCAGGCACGAAACACAAACGGGAACTGAGCTCCAGCCCACGAAAAAATAAAGCAAAATACCTGAACTAGTGCTCTGCTAAAGGAGAGGAGTACGCTGGGGAAACCCCATGTGAGCCGTCATGCCACATGCTTTTTGGGCAAGTGTATTTCGTCGCCGATTTTTCCTGCCGTGGTTGAAGGGCCCCATATGGCGTACGAAAAGCTCTTAGGACAGCCCATATTAATATCCACTGCTGCAATATCCTGAGAAGCGCACATAAAAATTGAGAGCATCAACGCTGCTTCAGCACACAAGGCTCTCAGGCACTCGGTCAGCATGAACAAGCTACGCAGCACTAAAAATTGAGTAGTGCCGCCGGTTATGCGTTTTAGTAACATGCCAGGTGGATGCAGTAGTAAAAGGCCGACCTGTATGGCAACTGTTGCAGCCTGCAGAGCGCGTGTGGCGTCAGCCGTTCCAAGTTGTAGGACAACTTTGCCCTTCTCGAGTTCGCAGGTAGAGAAAATACAGCGTCTGTCGCTCTTGCTGATGTATTCTACAACTCAACATACGCTCAACCATAAAGAGTAATGCTGCTGTACGGCTACACCAAAAATGTAAGCTGCACCGTGACATCAGTTAAGTGCCAAATTTTCTCCGCATGCCCACCCATCCCACATGATCTAACCTGCCAAAGCACGCATAATATGCATGCCTTAGGCTTACCAATGGTGCCAAAGTCTTTGTTGATGTACCTCTTTGTATCAAGTAGCTTTCTGTCCACAATCTCTTCAGTGTAGACGACATCTATCAAGCGCAGAATAACAATTAGTCGAGTTCCACTCTTGCGCAACAACCTCCAAAAGAATTCAGCCTGTGACTTTTTTCTGAATCTCATGTTTCAGTGCTTGGGTCTCACCTGCGCCATACTTCAGGCATTCCAGCCGGAAAGGCAAGGTGCTTATCCGCACCATGGGAGCAAGGATCCAGGAAGAGTTATAGAGTTCCGAAGCATGCAGGGAAGCCGAGCTGTTTTTCTCTGCAACTTTATCATCGTTAAACGTTTCCTGGGCTTCAGCTTGGGCCGACCGACGCTCATTTTCCTCGTCTGGCACCTCTGGCAAAATGCCTGCTTTTGTCGAGTGATGGTGGTGGCTCGTTTCTGTACTGTCCTCTGTTGCTAGGATTGGTGCCCCATCATAGCTCGATTCTCCGGTTGTTCTAGAGCGTTTGGCGCAAATCCCGTTAGCACCTCCAGAAATACCTCCTTCGGCAGAGCTGGTGAGCTCTGAAGCACAACGTTTTTGTTGGCTTTGGCCCAGTGTACAGCTTGATGCAATCGCAGCAATATTTGTTCCATCCGTTGGCCCCTTCACCAGATCTGTACGGGTAATATCTGGGGGCTCGGGGCTGGGACATATATTGGTCAGTTCCACATACAGGTCTTGCATGGGCGGCTTCACTACCAAATCGTCGGTATTAGAAGACTCATAAGGTTCGGCCGGCTTGTCTCTGTGATCGGATTTAGAGTCACGTAGAACTGTACCCTGAGTAGCGGGAGCTGACATCCTGCGGAATTCATCCCAAAAGAGAGTTTGTCCCGTCTTCAATTAGCAGACTTGACTCAGTTCAGCTTTTTTCGTGGTACCTAATGAAAAGAAAACCCTCATTAATAATCTTTAGAGCCAGCCTATTGCAGGTAGTATACGCCAATGAACTTCCAAATGCTCGACGGGGACAGAAGTATGAGAGGCCTTTGTTGCAGAACCATTGTTGGCGCTCAAGCTCTCGCAAAGCTCATAGCAATATAGCAGTGTCGATGAAACGCTTTTAACTTTCTTTGAATTGCTCGGTTCAACATAACAGGCTCTAGATCGATTGGCTTCCATGACAGATCATGTAGGCTGAAGGGCTGGTTCTGAAACGTCGACGAGAACTGCTAGTTGTACTACTGGCGAACTATTTAAAAGGCCGAGTATAGTATGAAATGTCTTTTCAAGGAATCGTAACTGAAAATTTTTCCTCAGTTCGTGGGCTGGTTCAATCGGCAGCTCCACGCGACTGTGCCCGTGGCTTTCCGTCGGAGAAAAACTTACCTTTACTTTAAGCATTCCCTGATTCTTACTTCTTATTTCCAAAATTCATTGTTGTGTAAGAAAATCACAAATATTTCCTGGTGATAAAAGACGCGCGGCATCTATTACTTCATTGTTAATCGTGGTATTCTAATTAGCTGACGCAGTGCCAGCGTTCATAACACATAGCATAGGCTAAAGTATAGTTGCAATTGTAGCAACGTACCGGAGTCATCTGAATTCACTTGCTGCAACGAAATTGAAGACGGCAGCAAGACAACTCGCGCGTCGGTGAGTGTCGCACTAGCTGTCGAGCTTGAAACGCTGCCTTCATGTGCCTGGAATTGCGTTATTGGAGCTTGGGGCGAGCTACATTGGGGCTCCTCTATGTTAAAAAATTATCCAAGGCATTTTCAGGCCACCTCAGGGCAAGCTTGCACTGAAACGTTTCACGACTTAGCGACTGGAGTTTCCGTCAAAGTGCATTCGTCCTGCCACAAGTTACTACGCCAGTAAGGAAGGGAGCTTTTATCCCATATCAGGCATAGACACACCTGGAAAACACAGCGGCAACTTTAAGGCCAGTGGCAAAAACACTACTGCTGCTAATTACGGCAAACTGCTACATGAGGTAGCATACGCATGTGCACCATGTAGATGGGCAAGAGCACTTATAAAGGACGAATTTCCTAGGGTTGCTAGCCCTCCTGAGTTTTGCAGCAAAACCTACATTTTGTGCTGGCAGTGACCTGGGCAGCAAACTCTATCGGCTGCGTAACGTAAGATCTGCCGAACCAATGAACCGCTCACTGGCAAGAGACGCTCAAAAAATAGCACTGCTGAGTTCGAAATTACTGTTTCATATTTCACTCGACCCCCAAAGAATGGAAAATCCAATGGCCTCGGCAACTGAACAGCTTCAATAGCATTAAAATGCCTGGTTAAGTCCTCTGGAGTTCTACTGAAGAGCTTCAGCATCAAGAAATCTACTGTCGATGCTGTCTGTACTGAATACAATAAAGTAGATTCACTTTGGACTGCTACGTGCCCCTTTCGTACGCAGCTTCACATATACTATTACTCAGTAAAAGCCTTGAAGGATTTAGCAAGTCCAAACAAAATCAGTGCAGATTCAAGCTTCCAAGGGATACATGTTTTTCTTTCTGGACGCTTCTCAGTCTCTGCATGGCAGTCCCAACCCCAGGGACTGACTGCAAAGCGCACTGGACGTGAGACCCTCATTACTGCATTCATCGACATACCCTGATTTGCATGAGTCTGAAAGCCGTTTCTCGACTAGGTTGAAGCGTTGCGCACTGTTCTCGAGGCCATCTTTGATATGGCCTTGGCACAGATCACCTGCCTCCTTCATGATATTTGACTGCTCAGCAAACCCTATACTGCCGCAGTCTGCCGCAGTACAATAAGGGCAGCGAACCCTTAACCACCAAACACAGCAGTATCATTCAGTGCAATCGGCACAGGCCACCTGTTGTCTTCATCATATTTGGCTACTCAGCGAGCCTTAGACTGCTGCAGTCTGCCGCAGCGCTATTAGACAGTGGAGTCACCTATGTGTAGTTCGGTAGTCACTGGCTTGCCTTCCATTTTACATATCCGTATTGACATGCCTGTATTTGCGCCACGTGGTGTATTTTTGTATCTGAATCTACTAAGCTCCTTATTTAAGTGCTGTGCATCCATCATAGTGGAGTAACTGCATTCTGCAGCGGGCAGATGAGGCCCCCCGAATACTGTTTTTCCAAGTCCGACACCTGGAAAAATAATATTCGGGGGGGACAAGTTGAGCGATTGTATCCTTCGGCTTCCACGGCCTTTTCTGCGGTTCCAAATTACCCATTCTAGCTCTTTATTGCTCATTTCCCCTTTGATATTCCCTGCTATGCGAGTTTTTCATCTCTTACTAGAGCGCCGTGCTGTTGGTCGCATGATGACCTGAACATGACAGCTAAGCGCGCCTCGCAGCGTTCCTGTGCAGAGCCCCTGTATATATCTCAAGACATGCTAAGAATCTCATACCAGTGCAAACACTTTTGCAAATAATGTGTATGTAATGCCTCAACCTAAGTGACACCGGACAAGTAACGAGCACTCGCCCACTGTTGGATACCAGCTGTCTGTGCGTGCAACCAGCCACTACGCCTTCGCTCTTGAAGCAGCAACAAGGAGAATCGCCTTCATTCAGGGCAGTCCTAAATAGACGTGTACTTAAAATACTACCTTAATTTCTTCCAGTCCAGAATTCACAACATATTGTCGTATCAGTACAGCATTACTTAATGGGATCTTGTTTCATACCTTGCGGCTCTTCGGGTCCTCTTGCTCGTCAGGATAATTCCATGCTTCTTCTACGCCATACCAATTCTTTTTTACGGTTCTGATTTTTTTTGACCATTGTAGCGCAAGAGATTACTACGAGTCTATGTGAATGCAGATATTTCGTGCTGGTCGTGTAGGCAGATAACATTTTAGATCTTCTATGGCCGGAACACCAGCCCCTGTACTCTAGCAGCAGGCCAAGCGTTAGATGAGCAGCCAGTGTCGACGACGCCTTCTTCTTAAAAGCAAGATTAAGACAGTCTGCGCGTGGACAACGTAACAATCCGGCAAAGACGTCATTTCCCGTCGGTTGGAGCCTCCGACTCCCAACAGCGAGACCCCAGAGCGGTAGCGCAGCTGCTTAACCACTCCAATGGGAGAAAACCCGCAGCGGCATTACCATGAGAAAAATGCCACTCTCATATGTGAAAGTCAGGCAGCAGCGGACTATAAGAAGGAGGTCGGCCATCTGAAGGAGATGGATCTACACCCTAAGTCCTTCAAGTCGCTTGCAGAGGCATTCCACGCGTCCCTGTGTGTTATTCGCTGCCTTAGGGGAATGATTCACCTTCATACAGAACATGAGCACATCGGTTTCATGAGACAGCAAGCGGGGGACTCTGAGTCTGCAGGAACACTACACACTGAAAGACTGTCACTTGATGCAGACATGTTGGCCCACCAAGCATCGTTTATTGCTGATGACGCAGCGTACGCTGAGTTGCTGGAGCAGCCCAGCACTTCTTCTCAGGCACTAGGAGGAGCCTCTGCACAAGTAGCGTCCGAAGATAGGATGCCTGCCCCCGAGGTAAATGGAAACTCCTTAATGCGAGAGGCCGCGGCGGACTCAACTCCAGAAAAGCGGGCAGCAGCAGCCGTATCTGTCGATGAGCCTACAACAATCAAGGCAGTGCCACCTTCGCCAGATTCACCAGGGGCTTCTGCTGCATCCTCTTCAGCTTCGCAGATCCCAGGGGGGACAGAATATGAGCTGTCCGTCTGCAAAGCGCTCTTACTTCTGCAGCAGCTGGCTCCCAATAGCACTCCGTTGGTGGGAGAATCACCTCCACTGCAGCCTCCACAAGCAGTGCCAGCGTTGCACGCTGCACGTCGGAGTGCACCATACTTGCCTTGCAACGCCAGTCCCAAAACTAGCAAGCTCACGAGGGTCTATGAAGGAAAAGTCACAGTGCTGTCTGCAGCCATTCTTGAAATCTTACTAAGCGTGCGACTACTGCAAGGAACTCAGCAGCTAATGCGGGCGGACTTCGCAAGGCTCCTCCACCAACAGCAGAAGCAGCAGCAGCTGCTGCTGAAAACTGTACAGTCTACTGTAATGAAGCTAGGTGTGTCTGGAATTGACTTCAGCCCCGCGAGAAAACACTTGTGCTGTTGCCTTCTGCTGGCACTAGGACTTGTATAGATACTCATTTCAGGTCACGAAACTTTCCATAGCATTCGATGAGAATAGGAACGAAGTGACAGTGTGTGTTCGTTCTGCAGAAGCGGAGAGAGATTGCTTCTTGGGACGCATGCAGAAACTTTCCTCAGCTGTGGGTCGCAAATGAGGTGGAGGCCTGCAAGACGGTGCGGAAGCTTCAAGGACCTTGTCCCTAAGTATATCTTTATGTCAAGGGTACCAGTAGTGCTTCTTTGATAAGAGTCCACAAAGGCACTTCAACACAGTTTGAATTCCATGAGTGACACCGCGAAGCTTACGTTCGTGCTCAGTGAAAAGCATTGAGCTGTGCCATCAAACGAACCGCATCACCAGGAAGTATCCCAGCTGTTCGCTTGGCGGTAGAATGCCATATTGGCTCTCAACAGCAATCTTTCGCCCTGCCCCTGCGTAAACTATGCTACAGCAAGCTGATACTGGTACGACGTAGCCCCAATGAAGCTCCCTCTGACTAAGTCCGGTTCTTTTTTAGAGGCGTGGTGAGCGTAGTTCGTCCTGGTAGCGCACCGAATGTGTCGGAGACTGCTGCTCTCTGCCAAACGTTATGAAGCTACAGTGCGCCATCTGCAATCAAATGAAGAATAAACAAATGGTCTTACTTCGCTAGGCTCCGCACAAGAAGCGTCCTTCAAATATATCGAAACCGACAGCCATCACATTTAGGTCAATATATGGAGGCTCAGCAGAGGCAAAC